TTATCTCTTTACCGCGTATTTCAGCATAGCTCTCCTAAGAATGAGAACATTCTCGTATATAAACAGAATAGCATTATCAGGCCCTTGAAATTAATAGCTCCATTGTTTACAGCCAGTTCATATTTTAAAATTCTCTAGTTGTCTCCACAATATCTGTTTAATCTGGTGTTTGTGTGTATTTAAATCCAGGATTTAATCAAAGTTCATGCATTGTATTGGGTTGATAAATCTTATCTCTTTTAAATCTAGAATAGTCTTTCCACCTTTTGTTTGTTTTAGACATTAGCTTTTTTGAAGAGCCCAGGCCAGTTGTCTGGGAGAATATCACCCATTTTGGATTTGTCTGATTATTTCTTCACTTCAGATTCAGTCGAAGCACTGGGAAGAATACTTCAAAGGAAGAAAATGCAAGATTTGCTAAATGACTAGTTTTATGGCTTAACAAAGAGGGAAGAATCAATCACCCATGAGCCTGAGATTTCTAGTCTGGGAAGCTAGAAAAGTGATGGAAGCAATGACAGACTGGGGTAGTCTGAAAGGGACATTGTGCTAGGAAAAGGACAGTGCATTTAGTTTTGAACTAATGACTTTTAAGGATTTAGTGTAGTTGTCCGTAAGTAGTTGGTTATTCTCTGGCAGTGGGATATTGTGAAAAAGAGCACAGGATTAGAAATCAGGAGAGTGATTATTTTTCAAGCTTTATTACTAATTAACTTTGTGGAAAGTCAGTATTTCAAGGGTTCTATGTAGATAGCTAAAAAATGAAGTTAATGCACACCTTGCCCTGCCAGTCTGACAGAGTTGTTTTGAGGATCAAATACAAATGTATATGAAAACACTCTGTGATATGAATGTATATGAGTTCATTCCGTGGACTCCTGTGTAATTATAAGAAGGTAATGTTATTTTCTTAGTTCAGACTAAAATGAGATATTTGAAGTTAGGGCTAGAGAAGACAGGAAAAGGGGAAAATATAAAACTTCTTGTGTTTGAAACTCAATCAAAAGCATCAGAAATCTCAGTCTCTGAATACATATGCCTGAAAAACCCTGAAGACTGTAATTTGGGAGACGAATCTGGGAGCTGAGCTTGTATATGACAGTTATAAGAACCAAAAACACAGGTTGCATCTTGTTAGATGTCATTATTTGACTTGCCTTCAAGTTGGAAGTATAAATGAGAACTTTGAATTCTGCCTGTGTAGTTGCTCCATGCTTGTTAACAGAATTTTTGAACATTTCCTTCTTATGTCTGTTGGCGTGAGCTATACATTTTTGCCCCCAAGTTAAATTAAGGTAATGTTTCAGTTCTTAAACATTGTCAGTAAATATGGTATGCTAATCAGGAGCACAGACCCTGAAACCAGGCTGCTTGGGTTGAATCTTAGCTCTGTCAATTAATTACTAGCCATGTGCACTTGAGCAAGTCATTTAACTTATCTGTGCCTCTATATCCCTATGTATAATAGGAGATAATATCTACATGAAGGTTGCTGGAAGGATTAAATGTATTACTTATGTCAAGCACTTAGAATGGTGCCTGGCACTTACAGAGTACTATGTAAGTGTTAATGGTGGTTATTAGAATATTTGTGATTTTGATAGTGACCAAGGAATAAAGTACCTGAACAAAAGAATTCTTTTCCCAGAACTGATAGCTGAGGGAAACAGAACTGATACAGTAGTAAAAATCATGGACATCGGGAGCTCGAGATCAGCCTGGGCAACATAGTGAAACTCCATCTCTACAAAAAATACAAAAAATAAGCCAGGTGTGGCGCGTGCCTGTAGTCCCAGCTACTTGGGAGCCTGAGGTGAGAGAAGGAAGTCAAGGCTGCAGTGAGCTGTGATTGCATGTTTCTGCACTCCAGCCTGGGCAACAGAGTGAGACCCTGTCTCAAAACAAACAAACAAACAAAAACAACATGGACTTCAGAGTCAGACATGCCTGGATCCAAATTCGAGTTCTCCCCCCTTGTGGTTTAAGCAGGCCACCTAACCCCTCTGAAGCTCACTTTCTTTTACCTGTGAACCAGAAATCACAATCCCTATCTTGCAGAGTTGTGATGATTAAATGAGCTGATGTGTAAAGTGCCTGACCCTGAGGTGACACTAAGAAAATGAGAGTGCTCTGGATCCCTCCCACCCCCAGCCAGTGCAAAGCAGTACACACAGTTCAATTTCTTGTATGCGGTCTTATTCATTTGTTTGTAATTTTAGGACTTCCAAAATGATTTCCGTTTGTTAATAGTAGAACAAACAGTGGCTGTATAATTGGATACACCTTGAAAAGTGTATTGTCAGCTTTGTTTCCCTCTTCCATTTGCTTTTTGGGGTTATTTGTTTTATTATTACAGCAAACCTACTGGAACCAAGATGGTTGACACTCAGTCTGTTATTAATCTATTAATAATAGGCATTGTTAATGATTCTGTTATTAACAGAGTCAAACTGGAATGTAGCCTCAGGATCCTCTTTTTTTTGAGACAGAGTCTCACCCTGTTGGCCAGGCTGGATTGCAATGGTGCGATCTTTGCTCACTGCAACCTCTGCCTCCTGGGTTCAAATGATTCTCCTGCCTCAGCCTCCCGAGTAGCTGGGATTACAGGCACCTGCCAGCATGTCCAGCTAATTTTTGTATTTTTAGTAGAGATGGGGTTTCACCATATTGGCCAGGCTGGTCTCAAACTCCTGACCTCGTGATCCACCCACCTCGGCCTCCCAAAGTGCTGGGATTACAGATGTGAGCCAGGGCGCCCAGCCTCAGGATCCTTCTTCACAGTATTCCAGGCAGCTACAATCAGTTCATCAGAGTTGATATAGTTGTGAAAACTGGTGTTCTTCCTGCTTTAGAACTTTCTAGAAGAGGCCGGGTGTGGTGGCTCACGCCTGTAATCCCAGCACTTTGGGAGGCCGAGGCGGGTGGATCATGAAGTCAGGAGATCGAGACCATCCTGGCTAACATGCTGAAACCCCGTCCCTACCAAAAAAAAAAAATACAACAACAACAACAAAAATAGCCAGACATGGTGGTGGGCGCCTCTAGTCCCAGCTACTCGGGAGGCTGAGGCAGGAGAATGGCATGAACCTGCGAGGCGGAGCTTGCAGTGGGCTGAGATTGTGCCACTGCACTCCAGCCTGGACAACAAAGCAAGACTCCGTCTCAAAAGAACTTTCTAGAAGAAATGCTTATGGGATTATCAAAATAATATATGGATTGTCCATTAATCTTCTATCCTGTGATATGCACTTGTCATACCTTGTGACAAGGCAGGGTGGTCTTGTAGCATTTTCTAACAGATGCTTATGTATATTGTAACATTATTACATAATGTAGGCATCTTCAGACACCTACTAGAGGAGATGCAATAATTGAAAAGTTATAATGCAATGATCCAACCAAGAATATGCATCAAAATTACTGGGGATATAGTCTTAAAAAACTTACGCCCAGGACCCCACCCCAGATTTATTCAATTAGAATCTTTAGGAGATAGACTCTGACACATACATTTTGTAAAAGTACCCCAGATGCTTCTGCTATATATAACAGTTGTTAAAAATAAGTAGATACTGGCAACAGTGTAGAGAAGCACACACTATTGGTATGAGAGTTCATTGACATAGTATAACCTATAGAACAATTTTACAGTATCTATCAAAATTTCAAATCTGTCCTGTAGAAATATATATGTGCACAAAAATCAAGTTTCAAGAATGTTTCAGGCCAGGCATGGTGACTCATGCCTATAATCTCAGCACTTTGGGAGGCTGAAGCAGGAGGATTACTTGAGTCCAGGAGTTTGAGACCTGCCTGGGCAACACAGCAAGATCCTGTCTCTATTTGAAAAAAAGAATAAAGAAAAGAAAAGAAAAGTAAATAAAAATAAACAAGGTTTTCTGCAGACACATTTATTATATCAAACAATTGCGAGAAACTGTCAGTACACAAATGGTTAAATACATTATGGTAAATACCATGTTTATTTGCTATGCAACCATTTAAAGAATAAGCATGAAAATTGTCTATACATGCTGATGTAGAAGCTTATCTAGGATATATTGTTAAGTTAAATAAGCAAGTCACAGAATAAGCCCTATTTTAAAATTTTTATATGTAAAAATGTAGAGAAAGATGTGAAAGAATACCCATCGAAGTGTTTATAGTGGTTGTCTTGGCATAGAAGAGTGGGAATAATGAAGTAGGGAGAGGAACAGACCTTTTCACTTTGGTGTTTAAAATATTTGCAGGCCAGGCATGGTGGCTGACGCCTATAATCCTAGCACTTTGGGAGGCTCAGGCAGACGGATTGCTTGACCCCAGAGTTCAAGACCAACTTGGGCAACATAGTGAAACCCTGTCTACAAAAAATGCAAAAATTAGCTGGGCGTGGTGATGCATGCCTGAGTTCCAGCTACTGGGGAGGCTGAGATGGGAGGATCACCTGAGCCTGGAATGTTGAGGCTGTAGTGAGCCATGACTGCACCACTGCATTCAAGCCTGGGTGACAGAGTGATACTGTGTCTCAAAAAAAAAAAAAAAAAAAAAAATTGCAATAACAGTTTATTATTTTTGTGATTAAAACAACCACTGAACAAAATATGAATGATGTTAAAGGAAGCTCTTATGGAAGCAGATTGATATGTGTCAGGACACTGCTTATTTTGCAAACACCAGTTTTAACTTGAGACTTATGATCTCTAACTTGGGAGATAAAAAGGAATGTCAAAACTATTTCGTGTGTTGGCAGTGATGATAAAATCTTGTTGCCACAGTTGTTGTGAAAGTAATCAGGAGTTTCAAACAGATAAGCATTGAAGATAAAAGGTATTTACCCTGTGTCAGAATATTGGTTATCTGTTTTAGAAATGTTTAATGTCTATGCATATCTGGATATGAAAATTGAGTTCAAAACATTTTAATTTAATCCTTTTTCAGTTGATTAGCCTCTAGTCAATGATAATATTAACACCTTCTAATCCCCTCTTTTATAATTTTAGGCCCGATGAGAGAAAGGGAAAGTTAAGGATGCTGGAGCAGAACAATGGATTTCTCTTTCTCTTTCATGCAAGGGATCATGGGAAACACAATTCAGCAACCACCTCAACTCATTGACTCCGCCAACATCCGTCAGGAGGATGCCTTTGATAACAACAGTGACATTGCTGAAGATGGTGGCCAAACACCATATGAAGCTACCTTGCAGCAAGGCTTTCAGTACCCAGCTACAACAGAAGATCTTCCTCCACTCACAAATGGGTATCCATCATCAATCAGTGTGTATGAAACTCAAACCAAATACCAGTCATATAGTCAGTATCCTAATGGGTCAGCCAATGGCTTTGGTGCAGCTAGAAACTTTAGCCCCACTGACTATTACCATTCAGAAATTCCAAACACAAGACCACATGAAATTCTGGAAAAACCTTCCCCTCCACAGCCACCACCTCCTCCTTCGGTACCACAAACTGTGATTCCAAAGAAGACTGGCTCACCTGAAATTAAACTAAAAATAACCAAAACTATCCAGAATGGCAGGGAATTGTTTGAGTCTTCCCTTTGTGGAGACCTTTTAAATGAAGTACAGGCAAGTGAGCACACGAAGTCAAAGCATGAAAGCAGAAAAGAAAAGAGGAAAAAAAGCAACAAGCATGACTCATCGAGATCTGAAGAGCGCAAGTCACACAAAATCCCCAAATTAGAACCAGAGGAACAAAATGTGAGTTGAAAAGTCTTTTTGAAAAATTTTGTTCTATTTCACATTTACTGGAAGTTCAAGAGATCTTTTTGGTTTTTATCTCTTTAAATATGAATTTTTCTGATAATTTCTTTTTTCTAATCACTAGGAAAGTGCTTGGAATATTATAATAGATGCTGAGTATTTGTTGAATATATGAATGGATATTAGTTAAGAAATATTTTAAAAACATGTAAAACAAATCTTGCTGCTTATGTTTCTTTGTCCTAATGGCCTCGGTTATTTTCATTTGCTTACAATAGACTGTTGGTTTTTGAAAATGAAAAGGAAAGGCAAAGATAAGATAGTTAATTATATTGAGTTTTCATTATTTTAGACCAACTTTTGCCAGTAGAGCTTAGATTTAACACTCATTGCTAATGTTTGCTACAAAATAACCTGAAATAATAGAAATCTGTTTATTAAAATCAGAGTTAGTATTAATATATATTGATTAAAACTTCAGGTGAGTTTTTATAAAAATCATCCTTTATAGGTAACTTAAGATATGTGCTGCTGAATTTTTTAATATCTGAGGTTTCAGTGTGAATTTGCTTAGCAATAATATAATAAGTATGTAAAAAATAATTCTAGCTTAAATGAAGAGTTCATAATATGAATTGCAAATGTTTTCTAAACTTTGACTTAGGAAAACTATATTTATTTTTGTGACAGCTATCTGCTTTTATATGTGTTATGCCTGAATAAGTTAATTTATTTTCTGTTCAAAGAAATGTTTACTTCTTACCAACTCATCTTTTCCTTGGTAGCTGGCTTCTATTACTTCATGCAACTCACAAGTGATGTTTTTCTGGAGTAAAGGTCACAATGGTTCTAGACTCTCACAAGTCCCAATGTGACATTTCAACATGTTTTCTCATTTTTCTGTAGTTTTCTTATTTATTCATTAACAAATGTTGGTGAAATACTCCTCCTACTGTGTGCTAGGCAATGCTCTAAGAATCAAAGGTATTGCAATGAATGAAAAGTAGAAATGAAAATTCTGCTCTCAGGATGCTTATATTCTAGTGAGGGGAGCCAGAAAATACATATATATATATATGCATGCATATGTATGTACATAAATTCAGATAGCTTTAGATGCTGTGAAGACAATAAAACTGGGTAATGAGATAAAGAGTCATCAGTGATGTTTCTAGTAGTCATTTTGCAATTAGATTCTAAAACCAGTTCTGTCTTTGTTAGATATCTGCTATACCTAGTTCTTTATATCACCTAAACCTTCAGTTAACTATTAGAGCTCAGGATTACAGTGCTTAGATTTTATTTTGTTTTATTTTATTTTGAGACGGAGTTTCACTCTTGTTACCTATGCTGGAGTGCAGTGGCTCAATCTCTGCTCACCGCAACCTCCGCCTCCCAGATTCAAGCAATTCTCCTGCCTCAGCCTGCCAAGTAGCTGGGATTACAGGCATGCCACCACGCCCAGCTAATTTTGTATTTTTTTTTTAGTAGAGATGGGGTTTCTCCATGTTGGTCAGGCTGGTCTCGAACTCCCGACCTCAGGTGTTCTGCCTGCCTCAGCCTCCCAAAGTGCTGGGATTACAGGCATGAGCCACTGCACCTGGCCCAGATGTTTAGATTTTAATTTAAGGGTTTTAGTTCATTTTCCTTTTTATTGAATCATAATGAGCAAAATTTACTATTTGATGTTTAGGATCTTACAATAGCTTGGGATAAAGGAATATCAATTTTGACCAAAAGTATACCTGGAGAAAGTGGCATTAACTGCCTGGAATATTACTAGGAGCATTGCCTGAAAGTTGAGTCTTAGGGGGAAATCCAGGTTTTTTTCTTGTTCGTTCTCTCTCTCTCTCTCTCCATCTCTCCCTGTCTCCTTCTCTCCCTCTTCCTCTCCCTCCCTCTCCCTGCTCCCCTCTCTGCCCCATTCCTCCCTCTTTCTGCCCTACCCCCTCATGCCTTCCCTCTTCCATCCCTCCCTTCTCTCCCTTCTTCTCTCCCTCTCTCCTCTCTCTCTCTCCCTCTCCTTCTCCCCCCTTCTCTCTTCCTTTCCTTCAAAGAAGTAAAGAGGTAAGTTTTTGTTAATTTAATTTTGATTAATTAGAATTGTATCACACACAGGGGCAGTTGTAGAAGTTGTACTCCATTCTGACCACAGACTTTCACAGCCAGAGCTCCCACGGCTCTTGCCTATCATTAATGTCATGCTTTTGCTAAGCTAGAGATGTGTATAAATTAATGTTTCACAACTGCATATGTTTTTAAATTAGATTTCCTTAACTTGAACAACATCTACAGTGCTTCCTTCAGGACAGTTATTTTAATGGTCAATACCGTATGCCTACTGGTTATCCATAGGGGTCCCAGCCCTTGGTGTTTAGCATTGTAGAGGACTGAGAAGTGGAAGGGAAGCCCAAAGAAGCATCCACTGACTTCACTGGACAGCTTCCCTCCCCCAGATGCCCCAGGGAGACATAATGAAAACTGTATTCCTGGAGAAAAAGTCTGATATAAATCTCCTGGAGCTGGATTTGCTTTTATATAGATTTTTTCTTTTACTTTACTTTGTTGTTGTTGTTCCTTAAAAGCCCACTCATAGGTTCATAGGTTCTTTTTTGAGCAAACAAAATCTCGTATAGTTGAGTTCCATGTTTAACTCCAGGCGTGGTGGCTCACCCTGTAATAGCAGCACTTTGGGAGGCCGAGGTGGGTGGATCGCTTAAGGTCAGAAGTTTGAGACCAGTCTGGCCAACATGGTGAAACCCCATCTCTACTAAAAATATTTAATAATTATCCGGGCGTGGCAATGGGTACCTGTAATCCCAGCTACTCTGGAGGCCGAGGCACAGGAATTGCTTGCACCTGGGAGGTGGAGGTTGCAGTGAGCCAAGTTCGTGCCACTGCACTCCAGCCTGGGTGACAGAATAAGACTCTGTCTCAAAAACAAACAAAAAACACAACACCTTAAGATTTCACCTGCTACTTTTTTCTTAGTACTTGATGTGTAAGTATTTCCCCCTAATTCTAAGCTATTTGGCCTTCTGAAGAGTGGCTGTTATTTGGAACAACCTAAGTATATCTTCTCAACAATGAAAATGTGTCCAAACATCTAGGCAGCAGGAGACCTGAGATCACTACTGAAATTGTATATTTTAAAAATCTGCATGAGCTGTTTTTCCTCCCACCAAATCAGAAACATGTGGCTGTGTTTCTGCATGTCTTCCTCCTTGGCAGGTGGAATGCCTCAGGCATGTGAGCATAGGCCCTGTTATTCAAACAGTCGCTGGTCTCCTATCAGCACTTCAGTGGGCTAATCCACTAAGGCAGAGTCTCATTAACCCTTAGTTTGCCATATCCACTTATAAAAAGCAGAGTGACTGGATCAGTCCCATGAACAGTAAGGTAGCAGGTTTGGCTCTCTAGCCTCAGAGTATTAGGCCTTAAAATTCTTAGAAACTCTTTATATGCAAAATGTTCTTTTGGTACACATTTTTTATTTAATTTTATTTATTTATTTTTGAGACGGAATCTCACTCTGTCACCCAGGGTAGAGTGCAGTGGCGCAATCTCGGCTCACTGCAACCTCTGCCTCCAGGATTCAAGCGATTCTCCTGCCCTAGCCTCCTCAGTAGCTGGGATTACAGGTGTGTGCCACCACGCCTGGCTAATTTTTGTATTTTTAGTAGAGATGAGGTTTCACCATATTGGCCAGGCTGGTCTTGAACTCCTGACCTCAAGTGATCCGCCCACCTCGGCCTCCCAAAGTTTTGGGATTACAGGCGTGAGCCACAGCACCTGGCCTGTAATATATTCATCTTAATGAATCCCTTGGTTTTAATAAAAGTACTAGGCTAAAGGCCGGGCGTGGTGGTTCACACCTATAATCCCAGCACTTTGGGAGGCCTAGGTGGGCGGATCATGAGGTCAAGAGATCAAGACCATCCTGGCCAACATGGTGAAACCCCGTCTCTACTAAAAATACAACCGGGCACGGTGGTGCGTGCCTGTAATCCCAGATACTCAGGAGACTGAGGCAGGAGAATCGCTTGAACCTGGGAGGCAGAGATTGTAGTGAGCTGAGATCGTGCCACTGCACTCCAGCCTGGCAACAGAGCAAGACTCTGTCTCAGAAGAAAAAAAAAAAAAGTGCTAGGCTAAAAATTTTACAGGAATATTTAGGATAATGTAATTTATTTTAGCCACTCAACATAATTTTTAGGTATTCTTATGTGGAGTCTATTAAAAATGTAAAAAAGTGGTATATACCCACAAAATTCTAATTTTTAAAATTAAGATGAATTGAACATTAAGGAGAGCTAACTCACTGTCATCTTTTTCTGATGCTTTCTCTTCCTGACAAAGTAATGGAATTAGTACCCAAAGAGAGTATTTCTGTCCCGACTTAATTTTAATGTCTTAAAGTTGTCTCTGTCTCTAAATGCCTACCAGGTATATCTGTTTGGCTCATGCATTAGCACATTTTATAATAGATACTTCCTCTCTATTATTGCAGCATCCTTACTTGACTTCTTTTTCTTCTCTTATTTATATAGTCTTGAAAGCTTAGAATAAATCCTCTTGGGCATCCTTTACTCCCTAGCCACTTCTTTCTTTTAAAATGACTGTGTAAAAAACTTTAATTCTTTGAAAGTGATTTTGATGGCGTTTCAAACCAGCGTGAAGGAAACACCAATAATCTGGAACAAATCAAAAAAATTTTAAAAAGATTTAAAAAGATAAGACATTTGAATTAGAAGGTTTGAAAGGAAGTCCTTTTTTTTTTTTTTTTCCTTTGGAGACCGGGTCTCACTCTGTCACCCAGTACACCCACTGTACTCACTCACTGGAGTACAGTGAGGTGAGCATAGCTCACACAGCCTCAAACTCCTGGGCTCAAGCAATCCTCCCACCTTAGCCTCCTGAGTGGCTGAGATTATATAGGTACACATCACTATGCCTGGCTCTTTTTTTGTAGAGATGGGATCTTGCCATGTTACCCAAGCTGTTCTTGAATTCCTGGGCTCAAGTGATCCACCTGCCTCAACCTCTCAAAGTGCTGGGATTATAGGTGTGAGCCACTGTGCATAGCTGGTACCGTTTTTAACCTCAGCTATCTCACACATGCTACTCCTTCCTCCTGGAATGTTCTTTCCTCCATGTTTTACTAAGCTAATTCTTCGTCCTTTGATTCTTAGATTGTAATTTCATTTCTTTTCTTGTTTTTTGTTTTTTTGAGATGGAGTCTCGCTCTGTCGCCCACGCTAGAGTCCAGTGGCACGATCTCAGCTCACTGCAGTCTCTGCCTCCCAGGTTCAAGCGATTCTCCTGCCTCAGCCTCCTGACTAGCTGAGACTACAGGCGCCTGCCACTGTGCCTGGCTAATTTTTGTATTTTTAGTAGAGACGGGGTTTCACCATCTTGGTGAGACTGGTCTGGAACTCCTGACCTAGTGATTTACCTGCCTCGGCCTCCCAAAGTGCTGGGATTACAGGTGTGAGCCACCACGCCTGGCAGATTGTAATTTATTTTCTTAGAGAGGCTTTTCCTGACCTTCATATCTGAAAATACATATACACTTACACACATTATTTTTCTTTTTCTTCCTAGCACTTACTTTTTTTGTTTGTTATTGTTGTTTTAAGAGACAGGGTTTCGCTGCATCACCCAGGCTGGAGTGCAGTCATAGCCCATTGAAGCCTTGAACTCTGGGGCATAAACGATTTTCCTGCCTCAGCCCCCCAGAGTAGCTGGGACTACAGGCATTTGTTGTTTTTAGGTACTGGGTCTCACTGTGTTGCCCAGGTTGGTCTTGAACTCTTGGCCTCAAGAGATCCTTCCACCTTGGCCTCCCAAAGTGCTGACAGGTGTGAGCCACACCATGCCCAACCATAGCACTTACTTTTTAACTGGATGTTTGTGTTTCTGTTTTTTAATATCAATCTCTCCTGCCCAACTGTAAACTCCTTGGGGTCAAGAATCACATCTGTTTGTTTCACTATTATATATAGCCTATGTAGCTTCTAGAACTGAGCCTGAAATACAGTAGGCACTGTGAAGTGAATGTTTGATACTTGGGTTTGGGGACATTAGTCTGTCTTACAGAACATATCATTTTCCTAAAACTTAAAAACCTTTTTAGGCCAGGTGCAGTGGCTCACACCTGTAATCCCAGCACTTTGGGCGGCCAAGGCAGGTGGATCACCTGAGGTTAAGAGTTCAAGACCAGCCTGGCCAACATGGCAAAACACCATCTCTACTAAAAATATAAAAATTAGCTGGGTGTGGTGGCGTGGGCCTGTATTCCCAGCTTCTCAGGAGGCTGAGGGAGGAGAACCACTTGAACCTGGGAGGCAGAGGCTGCAATGAGCCGAGATCTCACCACCACACTCCATCCTAGGCAACAGCAGAGCAAGACTCTGTCTCAAAAAAAAAACCTTTTTATACTTTTTTAAATTTAATAAAACTTTGTTTTCACAACAGTGTCTTTAAATGTTTTGAAATAATAGAATGAGAATTTTAAGTAACTTTTAGAATTAATCATATTCTTTTAGTAGAGTTAAGACCTACTTTAATGGATATACCCTCTTTTTAAGCCATCTAAATTAAATTCTGTTCTCTGGCCGGGCGCGGTGGCTCAAGCCTGTAATCCTAGCACTTTGGGAGGCCGAGACGGGCGGATCACGAGGTCAGGAGATCAAGACCATCCTGGCTAACCCGGTGAAACCCCGTCTCTAGTAAAAAATACAAAAAAAAAAAAAAAAAAAAAAAAAATAGCCGGGTGAGGTGGCGAGCGTCTGTAGTCCCAGCTACTCGGGAGGCTGAGGCAGGAGAATGGCGCAAACCTGGGAGGCGGAGCTTGCAGCGAGCCGAGATGGGGCCACTGCACTCCAGCCTGCGCGAGAGAACAAGACTCAGAAAAAAAAAAAAAAAAAAAAAAAATTCTGTTCTCTAACAAGTAACATATTTTAAAAATCTTTTACATTGTAGAGGTAATTTGGCTTTTTGTTTTTACAGAAAAGACAAATAGTTAAAAGGTATAGAAGATCTTCCTTCACCATTTCCCTCAAGTCATTTCCAAAAGATAATTACTGGTATCAATTTTGTTTACATTGTACCAAATATTTTCAAGGCATGTATAGATTACATATTTTTAAATAAAAAGTTGGAAGATATTGGTAGACATGCAGATTACTGACATGAAATAATACTGCTCTGCTTAGATTTTTCTTAGCAGAATTCCTCTGCTTAGATTTTCTTGTTTTGCATATTTCTGTAGAATAAATTTCTAAAATGTGATTGCTAGATTGAAGAGTGTACATATCTTAAATTTTGATAGCTACTTCCAAATTGCCTCCCCAAAGGGTTTTAGAAACTTCTTTCTTTCTTTCTTTCTTTCTTTCTTTCTTTCTTTCTTTCTTTCTTTCTTTCTTTCTTTCTTTCTTTCTTTCTTTCTTTCTTTTTTCTTTTCTTTTCTATTCTTTCTTTTTGAGATGGAATTTCACCCTATCCCCCAGGGTGGAGTACAGTGGCGCAATCTGGCTCACTGCAAGCTCCGCCTCTCGGGTTCATGCCATTCTCCTGCCTCGGCCTCCCAGGTAGCTGGGACTGTCGGTGCCTGCCACCATGCCTGGCTAATTTTTTTTTTTTTTTTAGTAGAGATGGGGTTTCACTGTGTTAGCCAGGATGGTCTTGATCTCCTGACCTCGTGATCCACCTGCCTCGGCCTCCCAAAGTGCTAGGATTACAGGCATGAGCCACTGTGCCCGGCCATAAACTTTAAAATAACATACTTGTGGGGTTTATGATTAGAAAAGTAACAATGTTTAGTATAGACAATTTGACAAATACAGAAAAGTACTGGCCAGACACAGTGGCTCACACCTGTAATCCCAGAACTTTGGGAGGCCAAAGCAGGAGGATCACTTGAGCCCAGGGGTTTGAAACCAGCCTGGGGAATAGCAAGACCTCATTTCAGCAACAACAACAACAAAAATTAGCTGGGCGTGGTGACACATGTCTGTAGTCCTAGCTACTCAGGAGGCTGAGGTAGGAGGACTTCTTGAACCCAGGAGGTTGAGACTGCAATGAGCCATGATCACGCCACTGCACTCCAGCTTGGGTGACAGAGCAAGACCCTGTTTCAAAAAAAAAAAAAAAGAAACAGAAAAAGATAAGCACTCCAAAAAAATCACTTATTTTATTACCTGGTGGTAACCTTTTATATCCTTTTAGTCTTCTGTGCATATAAAAAAATTAAGACTTGAACCATACTATTCAAACTACTTTGCGATGTGCTGTTTTAAAAAAGCATTGTAATTAGTGTTATCTTAAAATATGTTCTACTTAGCTATACTATAATTTATTCTAGATGTTTGGACATCTAGATTATTTCTTTTTTTTTTTTTTTTTTTTAGATCGGAGTTCACCTTTTTCCCCGGGTAGAGTGCAGTGGCATGATCTTGGCTCACTGCAGCCTCCGCCTCCCGGGTTCAAGCGATTCTCCTGCCTCAGCCTCCCATATCGCTGGGACTATAGGCACACACCACTATGCCTAGCTAATTTTTTGTATTTTTAGTAGAGACAGGGTTTCACCATCTTGTCCAGGATGGTCTTCATTTCTTGACCTCATGACCCGCCCACCTCGGCCTCCCAAAGTGCTAGGATTATAGGCGTGAGCCACCAGGCCCAGCCCATCTAGATTATGCGTAATACTTAGCTCTTATAAGTAGCAATAGTATGCATATCTTCAAACTTATCCATATTTTTTACATCTCTCAGTGCTTTTCAAATATACATTCTTAGAAGTAGATTTGCAAGGTCAGAGTCTGAAAATTTAATGCTTTTCATATATACAGCCAAATTGCTCTCCAGAAAAGTTTCAAGTTATGTCTTACTAGTAATCTTAGAGTGCCCATTTTTTTCTAGAATCTGAGCATTAAAAAGAAAGTTACCAGTTTATTTAGAAATTAAGTTTTTTGTTTTGTTTTGTTTTGTTTTTGAGATGGAGTCTCACTCTGTCACCCAGGCTGGAGTGCAGTGGTGCAATCTTGGCTCACTGCAAGCTCCTTCTCCCAGATTCACCTGCCTCAGTCTCCGAAGTAGCTGGGACTACAGGCGTGCACCACCATGCCCAGCTAATTTTTTTATTTTTAGTAGAGATGGGGTTTCACCATGCTGGCTAGGCTGGTCTCAAACTCCCGACCTTGTGATCTGCCCGCTTTAGCCTCCCAAAGTGCTGGGATTACAGGTGTGAGCCACCGCACCTGGCCGAGAAATTAAGTTTTAAAAGTAAAAAAATAAGGAAAAGGAGATAAAGCTATGGTATGGGATGGAAAATGAATGTTGAGACAGAATTAGGTACTGAATAAGTTGTATTCTTACTCCTTACATTGTTCAGTTAATAAATGCCCTTTATTCTCTTTATTTAGTTTTCTTTGATTCTTTTTATGTACGTCACTGTTTTTTTGTTTGTTTATTTAATGCCATTTTATTCAACTTACCTATACCTTTTCACCTAGAGACCAAATGAGAGGGTTGACACTGTATCAGAAAAACCAAGGGAAGATCCAGTACTAAAAGAGGAAGCCCCAGTAAGTTGTTTTACTGAATACTGTCTAACCAAATATGGTGGAAGAAGGTGAAACACAGTGACTGAATTGCAACACATATTGGTACTACGCTTTTTAATTTCAGAAATTATATTGAAATAAATCTTGGAGCTGGCTTGAGAGGTGGATATTTTCAGTGAATTATTTTCCTTTTCAGAACTATGATCTGTTTTTTTTTTTAATTGATCAGGTGTATTCTTAACATGCCTTTTTAATAACTTGGCAACAGAAACCATCAATCCTATCTTCAGTATTTGGGGTGGGGCTTATTAATATTTTTTCTCCTTCCCTTTTGCTAGTTTTAGATAGGAGACATCAGAGAAAAGTATAATTGAAGATAAATTTACATTGTTAGCACTTTTAATGTACTTTATACATAGTTTCTTTTTTTGAATTTCTGTTGTTTTTAACCCTTTCCTGTATCAAAGTATAATTGAAGATAAAATTACATTGTTAGCTTTTTTAATGTACTTTATATACATAGTTTCTTTTTTTGAATTTCTGATGAAGTTTTTTGACCCTTTCCTGTAGGTTCAGCCAATACTATCTTCTGTTCCAACAACAGAAGTGTCCACTGGTGTTAAGTTTCAGGTTGGCGATCTTGTGTGGTCCAAGGTGGGAACCTATCCTTGGTGGCCTTGTATGGTTTCAAGTGATCCCCAGCTTGAGGTTCATACCAAAATTAACACAAGAGGTAAGAAAAGGCATAAACAGATGCTGAGTAAAAGGTTGGAAATGAAAGTGACTTTTAAATGTTGTATGTGAATATAAAATACACACATAATATATAATCTGATACAAAAATGTGCCTATCTGTATCAGTTTTGTGGGTTTGTGTTTTTTTTTTTTTTTTTTGAGACAGATTTTGCTCTGTTGCCCAGGCTGGAGTGCAATGGGGCAATCTCGGCTTATTGCAACCTCCGCCTCCTGGGTTCAAGTGATTCTCCTGCCTCGGCCTCTGGAAGTAGCTGGGATTACAGGCACCCACCACCATTCCTGGTTAATTTTTGTATTTTTAATACAGATGAGGTTTCACCATATTGACCAGGATGGTCTTGAACTCTTGACCTCAGGGAGTCCACCTGCCTCGGCCTCCTAAAATGGTAGGATTACAGACGTGAGCCACTGCGCCTGGCCTCTTTATCAGTTTTTAAAACCAGTGAAATACTGATAGTCATCTTAAATGGCAGAGTGCTTCTATGACTGATGCAGTCATTATTTGCCTTATGACACCCTACATTTGCTTATAATTTTCTTACACTTGCTTTTTTTAAAGACCTTAATCTGACTGAAAATATGACCTCTTATTTCCTAAAGAAAGCATATGGACAACTGATCAGATGTTTTATATGAGCTTAATAAGCATTTGGGCCAAGCCTTCTTTGAACATTTTTATTTCATTGTTGACTGCTATGGATAGTAATTTTTTATCCAGACAAGTACTTTTCATCCTGGCAAATTTTGCAGGATGCTTTTTTTTCCTCTACACTCCATTCTTGAATCTGTAAATTTACTGGGGCATCCTTGTAAATTTGATATGACATCAAATGTAGCCTGAAGGTGGCTATATAATATAGGATCCTACCTTAGGAATGTTAATAAAAATTAAGAAAGACAATTCTAACTTTTCTGTACTCCTTTGCTGGGATTTGACCAAAGAATGATGTGGATTAGATTGCAGAGATTCTAGCATTTGAAATGAACTTGCTTAGTAGCCAAAGAAAGGTTTGAGCTTGGAACTTACTTCTGGGTGTTAACTTTGTGAATTGACTCTTGTCATGTGTAGAGCTCCTCATTGTCTGTGACAAGTTTGTACCTGTTTCTTTTTCTTTTACTTTAAACCATCTGTCTTGGTCCTTGTTCACTCTTCTGAGGGGAGAAAGTATCTGTTTATGTCTGGCAAGGCACATTTGTGATAGGATCAGCCATATCTGTGATTCTTGTGCTGCATAAACAAGAATCTCTCCCAGTATAGAAGGCCATCTGGCTGGATCATTTTTCGTCTTGTCAGTGTGACCCACTGATTAAAGGTTAGGAGAGGGGTTGTGTCAGTGAGGCAGAAATGAAAAACCAACATTGTTGAGTGTCTGCTTCAGTGCAAGATCCTGTGTTCAGTAGTTCTTATATATTTTCTTAATACAATCCTCACAGCAATACAATGAAGTAGGTACTATTATTATCCCATGTTTTAAGTAGGTAAATAGAATCTCAAAGAAATCTTAATTTCACAACCTCTCCTCCTAAACACTGCCTTATATTACAGGGAAAGCAGTTAAATTCACCCAGTCATCATTTACAGAGGTTGGGGAGGCAGTCTTATTATAGTTCCTTCAATTTATATAAGAAGGGTATTGGACTAGTCGTCTCTGAAGTACCCTACCCCTGTAATGATCTAGGGTTATGTGAGTGGGAAAAGAAAAGACAAGGATTTTCCAAGAAGACCATGCTTTCTTAAAGAAAACAATTCATGTCCACATCTGGGCCTCCAGAACTCTCTAAGAAGTTATATCATGTCAGAACTGTGGATCTTCACTTCTCTCCCTTGAGGAAAGCATACTGTTAAGATTATATAAAGAGTTTCATATTCAATTACTTTATGAAAACCTGCAGATTTCAGCTTTTTTCAAGATACAAACGAAAGCACAATTTATGTGTCATCTGTATTTCAAAGGAAGTGTTTACATTTAGTTTTATTAATTAACCTAATCTTGGCCAGGCAAGTTGCCTCATGCCTGTAATCCTAGCACTTTGGGAGGCCGAGGTGGGTGGATCACCTGAGGTTAGGAGTTCAGTACCAGCCTGGCCAATATGGTGAAACCCCATCTCTACTGAAAATACAAAAATTAGCCGGGCGTTGTGACGCCTCTAATCCCAGCTACTCAGGTGACTGAGACAAGAGAATCACTTGAACCCAGGAGGCGGAGGTTGTGTTTGCAGTGAGCTGAGATCCACCACTGCACTCCAGTCTGGGTGACAGAGTGAGACTTGGTCTCAAAAAAAAAAAAAAAAAAAAAATCTAGCCTGTTACCCCCTAGGCAGTTTCCTACTTTAGTGCTGGAAAAACAGATTTCATTTATATTATTACCAGAAGTCTGAAATTTTAGGTTAAAAAATGCATATATTTTAACAGAAATTTAAATTGTTTGATTTTTCTATAGTAGTTTAAAAAAGCTTTATTGAAATGTAATTCTCATATCATAAAATTCACCTTTTTTTTTTCTTTTTTTTTTTTGAGATGAATTGTTGCCCAGGCTATTGTTGCCCAAGCTGTAGTGCAGTGGCACAATCTCAGCTCACTGCAACCTCCGCCTCCCGGGTTCAAGTGATTCTTCTGCCTCAGCCTCCCCAGTAGCTGGGATTACAGGCACCCACCACTACGCCCAGCTAATTTTTTTTTTTTTTTTTTTGGCATTTTTAGTAGAGACAGGGTTTCACTGTGTTGGCCAGGCTGGTCTCAAACTCCTGACCTTGTGATCTGCTCGCCTCGGTCTCCCAAAGTGCTGGGATTAAAGGCGTGAGCCACTGTGCCTGGCGAATTCACCCTTTTAAAATGTGTAATTAATTGATTTAAAAATCTGTACATTCACAGAGTTGTGCAACTGTCACCACAATCTATTTTAGAACATGTTCATTAACCCCAAAAAATCCTGTGTCCATTAGCAATCACCCTCATTTCCACCCGCTAAGAAGCCAGTAACTACTTTCTGTCTCTGTAGACTTACCTGTTCTTCTGGCTTCATTCACTTACCATAATGTTTTTGAGGTTCATCTATGTTTCAGCATGGTATCAGTGCTTTATTCCTTTTTATTGCCAAATGATATTCCATTTATGGCTATAGTTTTAAATGCAGTATATAGTATAGTTTTAAATGCAGTAGTTTTCTGACAGTTTTTCTGAAAACCAAAAAATACAGCCTAAAAATGTTGTTAATTATGTTCCACTCATGATGCTTATTAAGCATTTTATGCTGCTCATTATTTTTTTTAATAGCACATATACTGCATGTATACATGGGAGATACTCAGAGAAATGAGTGAATCTCCTGTGTAACTTTCTATCTAAGCAACTTTGTAAAATTTATCTTAATCATTTATAGTAATCACTGGTTTCCATATTGTTATTAGTCAGTATTTTTATTAGATTCTTAGCATTGGAAAATGTACGTAACAATTTTTCACACATAAAGATGTAATAATTATTTGTAAGAGTATGCTGAAAGATGTTCACATCACAATTCTATTTTAAGTTGTATTTTATTACTTAGGTCTCATTAAAAATTTAACTCTTCCGTCAGAGACAGATGTGCTTGTTTCTTGACTTTTCAGGTCTGTAGCTTCTTATTTCAGTCTTATTTCATAGTTTGCCAGGTATCAGGAAACAAAGTGCTAACAAATAGGCAAAATGTTTGTCTTGTTTCCTCTCTAGTAAATGATTTAATGGGGGAAGAAGTTGAAAATATAGATTAAAATGAAATTGTGTTATCTATAAATTTCAGTTTTTATGTTAAGTCCTTTGGGATTATCTGTTTATATCTGAAGAAATAACTGATGTTTGGAAACTTTATGTACTATGTTTTTTAAATCTGAATAGCTCTACCCACCACCCTGTCCTTGAAATTCACTAATTAGTTTAGGTTATATTTCTATTATTCCCCCCAAAAATCCTTTGGATTTTAGATAAATCTTCTTTGATTAATTATCGTTAGATTTGTGCTTGGGTCTTTATTCTCAGATGAGATGATGCCGAAATCTGAGTCCACTGTTGCCTTTCTCTTCCTAATTACTTTGGGTTCTCTGAAAAGATCAGTTCCTGCATTTCTCCATTGATGTAATACTTTTTCTCTAGAACAGTATTTCTCAGACATTTTTGGCAAAAGATGAGTTTTTATTTACTTTTTTCAAATGTCTAGTCTACTATGAACTAATACCTCTGTAAAATACAACCAAACTTAATTATTTTAAAAAAAAAGATTGCCTTTCCCCTGAAAAAAACACCTAGTGCAAGATTCTTGATCGTGTGTCTAGATATCATAACAACGTCAAATTGCTGTCAGAGCTTCTCAATGCTTACTCAACTTCTTTACTTACTTTGTCACAGACTGGCTTGTCAAACCAATTTCAGAGTAGCATTGCCCCTAATCAGCAGTTCTCAGGTGTTATAGTTCCAGGACCCCTTTTACTCCTAAAATTTGAGGACTCAAAAAGACTTTTGTTTATGTGGGTTATATCTAATGTTATTTAAATTTGGAAATTAAAGCTGAGATGCAGGCACAAGTGGCTCACGCCTGTAATTCTAACACTTTGGGAGGCTGAGGCGAGAGGATTGCTTGAGCCCAGGAGTTCAAGACCAGCCTGGGCAACATAGCAGGACTCCATCTCAGTTTAAAAAAAAAAAAAGAAAAAAATTAAAGCTGAGAAAATTTCAAAATATTTATTAATTTATTTAAAAATAAGAACCTGCCGGGCGCGGTGGCTCACGCCTGTAATCCCAGCACTTTGGGAGGCCGAGGCGGGCGGATCACAAGGTCAGGAGATCGAGACCATGGTGAAACCCCGTCTCTACTAAAAAATAGAAAAAAATTAGCCGGGCGCAGTGGCGGGCGCCTGTAGTCCCAGCTACTCGGGAGGCTGAGGCAGGAGAATGGCGTGAACCCGGGAGGCGGAGCTTGCAGTGAGCCGAGATTGCGCCACTGCGCTCCAGCCTGGGCGACAGAGCGAGACTCCGTCTCAAAAAATAAAAAAATAAAAAAATAAAAAAAAAATAAAAATAAAAATAAGAACCTATTATAGGCTGGGGCCAGTGGCTCATGCCTGTAATCTCAGCACTTTGGGAGGCTAAGGCAGGAGGATCACTTCAGGCCAAGCAATTGAAACCAGCCTAAGCCACATATTAAGACTCCCATCTCTGCCAAAAAAAAGCAACAAAAAAATTTATTAATTAACTGAGCATGGTGACATATGCTTGTAGTCTTACCTGCTCAAGAGGCTAAGGCACAGGATTGCCTGAGCCCAGGAGTTTGAGGCTGCAGTGAGCTAGGATCATACCACTGCAGTCCAGCCTGGGCCACAGAGTGAGACCATGTCTCTAAAAACAAGAACCCCTTACTTACTATCATTAATTTTATTTTTATGAAAAATGACTATTTTGTTAAGTTAATGAGAAGAATTTTTTTTTTTTTTTTTTTTTTTGAGACAGAGTCTTGCTCTGTCACCTAGGCTGGAGTGCAGTGGTGCAATCAGTTATTTGTGGTGATTTTTACAGTAGCTATTAGTTCTGTAACTGGTGGGTATTAGAATGTATCTTTGGACAATCTAAACATACAAGTTTTAGTGGGAGTAATACTGAGGAAGCTGGGTTAGATTCCCATTTTTGGCAAAGTAGATGTGAATGCTTATGTTCTGAAATGGTTAATAAGAATTTTTACTTACAGGTGCCCGAGAATATCATGTCCAGTTTTTTAGCAACCAGCCAGAAAGGGCATGGGTTCATGAAAAACGGGTACGGGAGTATAAAGGTCATAAACAGTATGAAGAATTACTGGCTGAGGCAACCAAACAAGCCAGCAATCACTCTGAGAAACAAAAGGTAACTAACATGTTAATATTATTTACCTAGTATGGTTTTTAAAGAGCTTAATAACTTAGAAGAATTTTTCATACTTGAATTCAGACAATTATTAGAATCCTTTTTTTAAACCCCTTTCAGCTCAGTTTTAATCATAATGGCAAATTACTAGTAAGTTTGTAAGTACACCAATGAGTTTTTATATGTCATATAAACAACGTATAGTACTATTAAAACCTTTAGCTACTTGCTTAATACAATACTAGATTCTATTGTGAGTTTCATTAATGTGCATAAGATATACCAGATACCAGTGAAATGTGGATTTTGCCAGGGATTTTTACTCTTTTTTCTATTTCAGCATGTTTCCATAATTTCTTTTCATTCTTATTTAACAAAATTGTTTTATGAAAGTAAAGTTTTAAAAATATTTAGTGAGTGCCTATTGTGAAATAGGTATGGTTTTAAGCATTTTACATATATTAACTCACTTATTATTCATAACAACCTATATGAGGTAGATACTATTATTCCCGTTTTTACAGATGAAGAAATTGAGGCACAGAAAGCTTATGTAACTGGTTCAACCGAGATCACACAAGTGATGGAATCAGGAAATATATTTGATGTGGTGGTGGAGATTTTAGAATTTTGACATGAACTCTTGGTAATCTGGTTAAGATTTTAAACTCAACTAATTTTAGTGTGGGTCTCTTACAATTCAGAAATTTGTCATTTTTTACACTTGAAAAACTAAATTTTATCACAGAATTTTGATTAATTTTATGAGACTTACATTTTACAGATTTATAGATCAGTATTTGACATACACTATCTCATAGTTTTATTAACTAATTTCTGGCTACATCAGTCTAGCCACCTGGATAATTCCTAATTGCTTTGGCCATCTCACACATCTTTATTCAAAGTATTTTTACCCCTCTTGCCAATCCGAAGTCTTCTGATCAACCCTGGATCTAGAGACCTATGGAAACTATAATTCCAGGTCTACCTTTTTTCTCATCCATGCCTGTTCTCCTTTGTCTTATTAACTTTCATTTGTTCCTTGGGGCTCTGTCCTTTCACTTCATTCTGTCCCTGCATGCATTGTGGTTCAAACTCTGCCATCATTTGTTGTGATCTCTGTAGCACCCCTGACTTGCCCTCTGCCCTAGATATGGGAGAGAATTGGGAGTTTCAGGGTATCATTTTTAATGATAATAGTCATTTCTGTCATCATTGTTCTCTTTTCCCTCATTATCACTAGCTTTTTATGTATATGAAAGGAGAAGGATGTCTCCCTCTTGGGGGCCTTGTCCAGCAGAGTGATCAGCAAAGGAAGGATATAAAAGAGAGGCGATCCTCATGTTATCTAATATCTATTTATCAGAATTATGGAGATAGAATATTCCACTTGTTTGACCAAAGAACTGAAGATATTTATGTAGACCTGAAAAGATAATAGGATCACATGGGAAATACATGTCAATTTTAATGTACCTATTAGAGTAAAGCATGTCTGATAATCTCTATCTTTTTTAAAGATTCGGAAACCCCGACCTCAGAGAGAACGTGCTCAGTGGGATATTGGTATTGCCCATGCAGAGAAAGCATTGAAAATGACTCGAGAAGAAAGGATAGAACAGTATACTTTTATCTATATTGATAAACAGCCTGAAGAGGCTTTATCCCAAGCAAAAAAGAATGTTGCCTCCAAAACCGAAGTTAAAAAAACCCGACGACCAAGATCTGTGCTGAATACTCAGCCAGAACAGACCAGTGCAGGGGAGGTGGCCTCCTCACTCTCAAGTACTGAAATTCGGAGACACAGCCAGAGGCGGCACACAAGTGCGGAAGAGGAAGAGCCACCTCCTGTTAAAATAGCCTGGAAAACTGCGGCAGCAAGGAAATCCTTACCAGCTTCCATTACGATGCACAAAGGGAGCCTGGATTTGCAGAAGTGTAACATGTCTCCAGTTGTGAAAATTGAACAAGTGTTTGCTCTTCAGAATGCTACAGGGGATGGGAAATTTATCGATCAATTTGTTTATTCAACAAAGGTACCTCCTTTTTTCATGGAGTTTTTTGGGGGATGGTATTTTAAAAGTGGTCAACCTTGGCATTTAAAACAATGACCTTGGCATAATTTAAATACCCTTTCTACCCACTGAATTTGAAACATACAGTCATTGTACTCTGTGGGCAAAAAAGACAGGAAAAAGTCTATGTTTTTCTTCTTTTTTCCCCCTTTTGTGATATTCCCATCTGTAGTAGATTAGTCTTGAGCTGTGCAGCCAAAATTGAGCTTAGTTCCCTAAAGTCATGGAAAAAACTGGGCACTTTGCCTGTTTCTAGTTTGTGTAGTTAGCTTTTCTTAGTTGCAAAATGTGCTGCTTATTAAAATCATTTTTATCAATTATATGAATTAACCATTGTTATAAAAGCCACTGTAATAATTGTACCTGCTGACCTGTTTGGTTCCACCAGCAATTTTGTTAGATTCTTATTGGCTTGGGATATCTAACTGCCTTTCAGAGAAATCCCAGAACTGTGTTCGTTCTTTAACAATTAGCTGTGGCAGTAACTTGGGTAATGGGGTAAAAACAGCCTCTGCAAACTGTGTGCCTTCATCAGTTTGTCCTGGGCCTCCATTTAGGGCACTTATACTTTAGCTTGAAGACTTTAAAACTCTTCCATAATATTGGTGGTATTTATTCCATATACCTCTTCACTACCATCCCATCCCATACCACTGTGTTGAGTTTGTGATTTTGATTTAGTTGCATTTCATTCATGTGTATTAAAGAATTCTATGCTTATTTTTTCCTAATATAGTCATATGCAGATTAATTAGTTAAACACAGGTATGCTTAATTAGTAATGCATCTTCCTAGAGAAATGTTAAGGGTGCTCTTTTAACCTGGACTGCCCATAGGTTCAACTGACTTCAGTTAAGGCCAAGCCACCTGGAAGAACTTGAATTGCAGTCCCTACTTGGTTCTCTTGATAGCAAATGTATATTTTTCATCTTTCAAATGGCAAATGAGTATGTTGCATCTTTTTTGAGTACAAATTGGCTTTATTCTTGGAGCTAGTTTTACTGCTTCTGAATGTACAAGTCAAACTTTGTCACCACCACCCCAAAGAATGCTATTTAAAGGAAATTCAAGATGAAACTGATCTTTTCAAAATGAAGGCTCTAAAAATACATGCATGTATATATTTGTTTATTTTTTTCCATTTTAAAAGATGAGATCTCGCTCTGTGACCCAGGCTGGAGTGCAGTGGTCGATCGTAGCTCACTGCAGCCCCAAGGGATCTTCTGCCTTGGCCTCCCAAAGCACTGAGATTACAGCCATGAGCCACTGTGCTGGACCTTTTAATGATTTTTTGTAGAGATAGGGTCTCACTATGGTGCCCAGGCTGGTCTTGAACTCCTGGCCTCAAGCTGTTCTCCTGCCTCAATCTCCCAAAGTGTTGAGATTACAGGCAGGTGTCACGGTGCCTGGCCAAAAAAATACATATGTATTTATAAATCACTTCTTTACTTCTATTCCATCGCATTAAAAATACCTAAAATGACACCTAAGTTAATTATACCTGCCTTCTTTCTGCTTCAGATTACTTATTGGGTCACATATGTGACATATTTCTGTATTTAGGGATATTTCCATGAGTGACATATTTCTGTATTTAGGGATATTCTTGTCTCTTAAGACATATTGGCATTGTTCTCTGTGTAATAGAGCACGTTACCAAATGAAAATGACTAGAGTTCTCTTACTGTGATATGTATAAAGACCAGAAAATACTTTGTTTTGATAGAAAATTGAGTGATACAGGTATATTTTTTGGTGACATTTATCACCTGGACTTAGACAAATATTCTACCTCATGTGATCTTATTGTGCATTTAAAAATGTATCTTGGAATTAGCTGGGCATGGTAGCACGTGCCTGTAGTCCCAGCTACTTGAGAGGCTGAGGCAGGAGAATTACTTGAACCTGGGAGGCAGAGGTTGCAGTGAGCCAAGATCTCGACACTGCACTCCAGCCCAGGTGACGGAGTCAGACTCCATCTTAAAAAAATTCTTTTTTGGCCAGTTGCGGTGGCTCACGCCTGTAATCCCAGCACTTTGGGAGGCCGAGGCAGGCAGATACCTGAGGTCAAGAGTTCGAGACCAGCCTGGCCAACATGGTGAAACCTCATCTCTACTAAAAATACAAAAAAAATTAGCAGGGCATGGTGGCACGCACCTGTAGTCCCAGCTACTCGGGGAGACTGAGGCAGGAGAATCACTTGAACCCAGGTGGTGGAGGTTGCAGTGAGCCAAGATCACACCACTGCACTCTAGTCTAGGCGACAGAGGGAGACTTCATTTCAAAAAAAAAAATTTTTTTTAATTAAAAAAAAGTGTCTTGATCACTTAATCAAATTGTTCTGATAAAGGCTAAGATAGCTTAATTGCAATCAAAGACCATATAAAATTTAAGTAAATTATGATCATTTAAAGCCATCTTTATAAGCCCATGATGCCACTTGCCTGGTAATCACCTGTTTTGTTGTTTTTTCTTTTGCCTTATTTTAAAGGGAATTGGTAACAAAACAGAAATAAGTGTCAGGGGGCAAGACAGGCTTATAATTTCTACACCAAACCAGAGAAGTGAAAAGCCAACGCAGAGTATATCATCTCCTGAAGCAACATCTGGTTCTGCAGGTTGGTATGAGTGAAGAGTATATATAGAGGTCCATTTTGAGAAATCCTTGTTCTGTTCTGCTATAATATGGTAGCTGTGTTCCTAAGAAACTCTTAGTTATCAAAAGTAAATTATATTTAAAAATCAAATTATAAAAGCAGTTACTTTAATAGGAAAGAATGGGTTAGAGGCTAGAGAACTTTATTCATAGCAAGTTATTTTTTGTACAAGAATTAAAATAATGTGATTCTATAATTAAAAGTATATAGCTATAAAAATCTATATCTATCAGAGTAAATACACCATTGATTATCTCTCTTTGCATAATAACAGCTTACTTTTCCTGCTCCATTAGCACACACATACCATTTCCTCCTTTACCCCTGTTGGAAACAAACTGGCAGATGCCACAGCTCTTGTCATTATTCCTAGGTGTGCTAGATACTAGTAGCTGAGGGGCCTAGAGCCTAATTGTCCTAATGTAACCTATTTTCTGATTAGCAGATACCATGAATTGAAAATCAAGCCATATTATTCTTGTTTAAAGGAGAAGCTGTATTCAGTAAGATTGTGCCTTTGGAATGTTTAACTTTTTTTTTTTTTTGAGACAGAGTCTCACTCTGCTACCCAGGCTGGAGTGCAGTGGCTCAATCTTGGTTCACTGCAACCTCCGCCTCCTAGGTTCAAGCGATTCTCCTGCCTCAGCCTCCTGAGTAGCTGGGATTACTGGGGAACGCCAACACACCTAGCTACTTTTTGTATTTTTAGTAGAGACAGGGTTTCACCATGTTGGCCAGGCTAGTCTCCAACTCCTGACCTTCTGATCCACCTGCCTTGGCCTCCCAAAGTGCTGGGATTATAGGCATGAGCCACCGCATCTGGCCTTTTTTTTGTGTGTGCGTGTGTGTGAGACAGGGTCTCACTCTGTCATACAGAGTGGAGTACAATGGTACGATCATGGCTCACTGCAGCCTCAACCTCCCAGGCTCAGGTGATCCTTTCACCTCAGCCTCCCAGGTAGCTGGGACCACAGGCGTGCATCACCATACCTTGCTAAGTTTTTGTATTTGTTGCCATGTTGCCCAGGCTGGTCTTGAACTCCTGGACTCAAGCATTCTACCCGCCTCGGCCTCCCAGTGTGCTGGGATTATAGGCCTGAGCCATTGCACCAAGCCAACATAATTTTTTTTTAGACTTACTAAGGATTTTAGAATTTTAATTGAATGTCTGGTGGGTTTGGTTTATGTAACAGTATTACATCAGTAGTATTTATGTAATACTGCTTGCTTCATATAGCCATCAAGAAAAGAGTTAAGTATTAACTAGCTTGTTCATTTGGAATCTTAGTTTAGGAGAAAGGAATTCATTTCATTTTGTTCTTTAAAAATTTGTTTTGAGTCTAAGAAGCGACTATAGTAGAAAAAAAAAAAGATAAACTATTTTCTGAACATACTTATAGACCCATATATGAGTTTGTTTGTTAGTTTCCCCACACTGACCAGCTGGGTGTCCTATGATTCAATTTGATTCTCACACTGTTTCCCTGGTGTTAGAGTCCAATCCCTCAGGGTAAGGGCTCAACTCTCTAAGACTGCCCTGACTTCAGATGTCAGTTGCAAGTCTGGGGCTTCAGAACTTCTGACTGACCAGCTATAAATTGGAGGTTCTCATGACCCCCTCCTTGAGTTTAGTCATTTGCTAGAGCAGCTCACAGAATTCAGACAAGCCCTTTCCTTACATTTACTGGTTCATGTTAAAGAATATGGCAAAGGATACAGATGAACAGCCAGATGGAAGAGATGCACAGGGCAAGGTATATGGAAAGGGCTGTAGAGCTTCATGCCCTCTCTGGCCATGCCACCCTACAGGTACCTTTGTGTGTTCAGCAACCTGGAATTTCTCCAAACCCTGTAGCTCAGGGATTTTTATGGAGGCTTTATCATGTAGGCATGATCAATTAACTCAGTCTTCGGCCCCACTCCCCTTCGCAGAAGATGGGGAGTGGAACTTAAAGAAAGCATCTAATCATAGCTTGGTTTTTCTAGTGACCAGACCCCAACTAGGAACCCACCAAGAGTTGCCTCTTTAGAACAAAAAACACTTGTATTATGCAGCAAATTCCAAGGGATTAGGAGCTCTGTGCCAGGAACCAGGGGTAGTGATCAAATATATATTTCTTATCATATCACAGTATCACAGTGACCAAGTAATTTTCTGGATGGATCAAAGTCTTAAGACCTGAAGTGGTAATCTTGAATCAATAGTAACTTAGCAAACCTGTGATTGAGTGGCATAAAGTGTAAATATTTTTGTAAGGGAAATTTAAATAAAATTCTAATTATTAAAATAGCAAAGTAAAAACAATCATTGTTCACAAAAGTACTTGGGATAGCTTTTCATAAAAAGAAAATAATGGAAGCTGCAGGACAGGGAGAGGTAATGCCAGTGGAGATGGGGCACATGTTGGATGGGGCATTTTAAACAGCCTTTTTAAAAATGGAATTGGGAAGGAAAGTTGAGTTAAAGAAAGGAGGGAGTGAATAGCAAAGTCTAGTACTACATTTGCAAATTGTGTCATTTCAAAATACTTTATAAAAAGATGAACTTACAATGTCAAAGGAATGGGTAGATGGACTTAGAAGATTTCACATTAGCCATAATTGAGAATATTCCCTTCTTTGAATATTAAAAGAATCTTTTGGCCTCCACTTTCCATAATTAGGTATGTCAGTTTTTTTACCTCTTTACACTAAATGATTAGTAATTTGTCTGAATTTAAATGGGATATCTGGAATAGGAGGATCTTTATTTGAAATCAGTTTCCTAAGGAGAAAGTAAATTCTTCCTATATTAGATTGATCTTAACTCAAATATGGTTTTATTTTAGATGGAGCTTGTTTTTCTTCTTCCTCTCAGTTACTGAACTTTTTTTTTTTTTTTTTTTTTGACACCGGATCTTGCACCCAAGTTGGAGTACAGTGGTGTGATCATAGCTCACTGTAACCTTGAACTCCTGGGTTCCAGTGATCCTCCTACCTCAGCCTCCTGAAGTAGCTAAGACTACTGGTGCCTGCCACCATGCTTGGCTAATTTATTTTATTTTTATTTTTTGTAGAGATGGGGGTCTCACCTTGTTCCCCAGGCTGATCTCAAACTCCTGGGCTCAAACAATCCTCCTGTCTTGCCCTCCTGAAGTGTTGGGATTACAGGCATGAGTCGCTGTGCCCGGCCTGAACATTTGCTTTTTATGTAGTCTTTTCATTGTAAGATGTAATTTCTGCTATGAATATTTCCTTTTTTTCTAGGTGGAAGGTTATACTTCTTTGTATCTGGAAAAAGGCAGTATTGCTTTTTGCTTAAGCAGGCACATAGAATTTAGGTTGTAAATTAAGATTGAAAACTTAATTTTGGGCCGAGCATGGTGGCTCACACCTGTAATCCCAGCACTTTGGGAGGCTGAGGCGGGCGGATCATGAGGTCAGGAGTTCGAGACCAGCCTGGCCAACATGGTGAAACCTCATCTCTACAAAGGTACCAAAAAAAAAAAAAAAAAAAATAGCTGGGCATGGTGGTGCGCGCCTGTAATCCCAGCTATTCAGGAGGCTGAGGCAGAAGAAGCGCTTGATCCCTGGAGGCGGAGGTTGCAGTGAGCTGAGACTGCGTCATTGTACTCCAGCCTAGGTGACAGGGAGAGACTCCGTCTCAAAAAAAAGAAAAAGAAAAGAAAACTGAATTTAGGGACTGGTGCTCTAAAGCTTTGAGCTTGGCTGAAGTTTGGTTAGCAGCCATGGTTGATAAGCATACTTTGTATTTTTAAGTGACCATTTTGCTTTTTGTGAAAATAACTTCAGTAGTTGAAAAGTCAAAATAGAGACTTGTTCACCCTTCATAAACCAATTGCATCATCTCAGCTAGTGTTAACTGCTTAAGGAAATTGTTGAGCCTTTTCTTAGTAAATTTCAGGGATATATAAAATGTTTGGCACTGTCACATTTTTGTCATTTGAAGAATTGTACTTGTATTCACACTAGATTTCAAAGCTATTTTCCAAACCCAGAAATGCTCACCTCCTCTTTCTTAGAACATGAATATAATACTCTTCAATGGTTTTAAATTTATATGTTCTTTGGGTAACTTTCAGAATCATTTTAAGAAATCATGTTGCTTTATCCTCTCTAAGACAGTAAATCAAATATCTTCTGCTCTTCATGATGTGATTATATTACCCTCAACACAAGTAAAGATTTTTTTTTTTTTTTTTGAGGCGGAGTCTCACTCTGTCGCCCAGGCTGGAGTGCAGTGGTGCGATCTCATCTCACCGCAAGCTCCGCCCCTGGGTTCACGCCATTCTCCTGCCTCAGCCTTCCGAGTAGCTGGGATTATAGGCAACCGCCACCACGCCTGGCTAATTTTTTGTATTTTTAGTAGAGACAGGGTTTCACCGTGTTAGTCAGGATGGTCTCGATCTCCTGACCTCATGATCTGCCCGCCTCGGCCTCCCAAAGTGCTGGGATTACAGGCGTGAGTCACTGCACCCAGCCTTTTCTGTTTTTAAGCAATTCCATTTTCATTTTTGCCCTCCCTAGTAGTATTAGAATATTGACACTTACACTAAAGTATGGATCTCTGGGATCCTCAGGTTGGTCTGGGAGGATAGCATATCTGTTGTCTTAGTAAACATTTTTGTCAGTGTAAGGAGAAGAGTGAGAGTAAAGAAAGGAGCCAACACCTTTATTTGTGATTACTGTAAATCAATTAACCACAGCTCCAAAACAATATATTATTATCAAACTACCCACTCTTTCCCAAAAACAAAGTAGTTGCATCCCTCATTTTGGCTTTGAACTAAAGTGAGGGAAGTCATTTATACATAGCCAAGAGTAATGAAAGCAGAAAATATAAAGGTTATATGAAAGGCTTTATAGATAGAGCTTCTATCTGATTTTATAGGTCTTAGTGGCTTCTTCCTATGGCAAGCCAGAAGTGACTATGATTTAGGAAGGAATATGTAGGTGGTCCAGGCACTGAAAACATGGAGAACAGCTGCATTGCAGGTATCATTCCTCCTCAGGCTTACAGAATGAAATCATTCCTGACTTAGTGTTATTTCAAGTTGTGTTCTTCAATTTCAGTTTTATCCTTTCCAAAAATGGGGTCCATGTGAGTTTTCTTCAATTTGCTTTTAAAGAATTGTACTCTTTAAAAATCTTTTTTTTTTTTTTTTTTTGAGACGGTGTCTCGCTTTGTCACCCAGGCTGGAGTGCAGTGGCGTGATCTCGGCTCACTGCAAGCTCCACTTCCCGGGTTCATGCCATTCTCCTGCCCCAGCCTCCCGAGTAGCTGGGACTACAGGTGCCCGCCACCACGCCTGGCTCATTTTTTTTTTGTATTTTTAGTAGAGACGGGGTTTCACCGTGTTAGCCAGGATGGTCTCGATCTCCTGACCTCATGATCCGCCCGCCTCGGCCTCCGAAAGTGCTGGGATTACAAGCATGAGCCACCGCGCCTAGCCTAAAAATCTTCATAGTTTGTTTTACCATTTAACATGAAAAAGCTTGATAATTTGTTTCAACTAGTTTTCGATGACTAATTATTTCCAAAATATAACAGATCCCTTGATAGTCAAATTAATGATTAGGTTTTGGTCACATTTTTGTGCCTTTCCTGCTTTTCCTGCTTTTGTTATTAATAACAATAGCAAAACTTATATAAGTGCAACAAGCACCGTTAACCATTTTACATATAGAATTAATTAAACTCCTTTGTTAAAATGCAGCATGTGTAGCACTGATTGAATTTTGAGCCAATAATTTCTAATGCCAAGTGGGTAATAAAGTTATTTTTATGCATCCTTCGGTCCCTTCATTCCGTAATTATATTTACCTAAAGATGTTTATGTGCTTTTAAAATTAAACAATGTCTCTGCTGTTTTAGTTTGACTTTTTAATTTTTAAAAAACCAATCCCCCTTTATTTGTATAATTTAGGACCCTTTGTGAATCCCAGTCTCAGCTCATCAGCCTTCACAATTTGATCTGTTAAATAATTTATATGCTCCTGAGTATTTAGCAGATTTTAATGACTTTAATTAAAATTCCAAAAATAATGGGTAAGAAAAGCAAATAATTTGGTCATATCTTAATTACATGGATGTCAAGGTATCCTTAAATGAGTTTTTGTTTGTGTGTTTAAATCATTTCTTAGGCTCAGTAGAAAAGAAGCAACAGAGAAGATCAATTAGAACTCGTTCTGAATCAGAGAAATCCACTGAGGTTGTGCCAAAGAAGAAGATCAAAAAGGAGCAGGTTGGCTTCCTACATGTAGAGAGTTAAAACATTGTATTTGTAAATGTTGTGGCTTACATTCCTGTCTTAAAAGAAAGAGAAACTTTCCCCCACACTGAGTTTCCTTTCTGGACTATCTTACACTTCTGTCCCTGTCCCCGGTGGGTTCCAGTGCTCAATTTTAATACAGCCATTCCTGTGATTCTGCTTCAAGCATTTTCACAGAAAACAAGCTTCAGGAGATGGGAAGCCAGTGGTGCAAGACTCTTAAAAAACTCCTTTACATTTATTTAGAAGTTTCTGTTATCAGCAAAATGATTTCATGTTTTTATGATTTTTATTTGGAACCATCATTGAGTTCCTTTTTTTTTTTTTTCCAAATTTTGATTTTTGGTTTAAGCTGCTGGTATGTATTTTTTTTATTTTTAAACAAATCAATTTAATTTATATTCTTATATTTAAGAAACAGATAATCATAGATGATCTGGTTTTTCTGTTAATATCGCAGATTTTTTGGAATGTTATTTTCCCAGTGGAATATTCGCCTGGTATCAGGTTGTCAGATAAATAATATTTAGGTTAAAAAAGGTGTGTATGGGGGATTGCATTTTGACTGAAGTGTATTAAACCAGTGTAATCAATGTAGTAAGATTCATTTAAATGACCTTTTCAAAGAAAATTTTAGAAGCCATTCTTCTTTAAACTCACAATCAGATTTTTTCTTAATTTTTTTAGTGAAAGGATATCCATTCTTACAGCCTAAACACCTGCTAGTAAACAAAACAAATTCTGAATAGAATTAGTTCCAATAAGTTTTATATTTTTTAAACCATTTAATATGGAAGAATGTGAGCTTTTCTATTTAAAATATTTCCTTCATCATTTTAAACTTCCAAATTTAAAAGCTAACTTTGTGGGTGCTCTGTGGTATCACCAAGCAAGTGAAACTGTTTTTCCAGAATATTTAACTAAAATTTAAATAGAATACTAATTTGTCATTCATTTATCATATTAACTTTCATATTGCATACTTAGGAAACTATATTCCAAAAAATCTTTCTAAGCTCTTGAAAATCTATAGTATTCATTTCCAGAATGAAGTTGTGATTTTGCCAGCTGGTTCCCAAATTCAGTCTGTGACCAGTCAGTTTAAAACTAATAAGCAGAATGAGTACAAAGAGTGGGACAAATTGTTAATGCCACTGTGTTATAGTTAGTAGTAGAACAATACCAGTGATTGTTTAGAAGATTTTATATTTGTATTACTAATTGTATCTTATAAAAGCGTTTCTGTTGTATGTTTTTTTACCTGTTGTAAAAAAAATAAAAATTTTTTTAAAAAGCTTAGAACAATCCTTAAATATTTACAAAATGTGTTTCAACATTCATATTTCACCACATCTTAAAGAAACATGAAATTCAATTTATAGCTTAAACAGGAACTCCTCCAAACAGCCTCCTTTCTCTAATTCCAATGGTTCAATCCTCAAATTACCACGTGTTTTACATATACATTGGCAGAATAACTTCTGATCTCGCTCTCCTAATGTAGGATCAAGACACTGTTCATAAGACACTCAAGAAAGTGCTTTTGCAATATCACAAACTTATTTTCTTAAGTTTGTACTAGCAGCAAAAGTATTGAGCTTCCAGCTGTATGGAGCCCTGTAGCACTCTCTACAGAGAGGGTCCTGATTCCCAGCAACTTAGCTGTGAGTGCAGGCGCGGAAGGGTCTTAAAGTGGCGTGAGTTACATTAACCTGAGTATCATAGTAAGTAAAAATTTATCCTAACGTCTTTGGGGTGGGAGGGGTTTTTAGCAACATTGGGGCCGGTTGCAGAAACAACCCCTCTCCTGCCTTCCAGACACTGAGGAAAGTATTCTTGTTCTCTTCATATACCAAGGGAATGGTGGGAAAAGTCTTTGCTAGAGAGCATGTGGCTGTGTGTTGTCACTTGATATTCAGCACAGGCAGCTAGGATTTAAACCCTCCCTGATCTTGAGACAGAGAACTTTACCCAGAAGATGGGACTGAGTTCAGATTTCAGATACATTAATCACTCATCATTACTTAGATTGATGAAAAGTATCTTTTCCCTCTGTTAATAATTAAAAGGGAAAAAAATTCTTTGTTAATGCTGTATTTTTCTGTCCAAACAGGTTGAAACAGTTCCTCAGGCTACAGTGAAGACTGGATTACAGAAAGGTGAGTTAGTATTATAATGTTGCTTTGCATTTCCTTGATTAAAACCAATTTTTAAGAATTACTTATTTGTACTCCATGTATTTTTGTCTGTCTCTGTAAATCATTGTTGTTGCTCTTCAGTGTGAAATTGCAGTATTCCCCGGTGTTTGTGTGTGTGTGTGACTTTTAGAGTTGATCTTATTCTGTACCTCCACGTGAAAAGTCTTACTTGTTTTGGTAAATTGGAGAACACCACGTAGACTTGATACTGTTTCCAGCCTTTCTCCATAAGATTCTGGGGTTTCACTGGCTTATAAACTAGGGATGTGACGAATCCACTTTTTTTGGTATTCGACTGAATACCGAATAGTAGCTATTCATGTTTGTCAAACATGGACTATGACAAATCAGACAAGACAAGCTGATTGAAAAAAATCTTGCCACATTTATTTTTACAGTGCTGTAAAATCTTTTTGTAAATTAAAATGATTCATAGCATATTTATGGCCACTATTAGATGACCTTATGCGAATCTATTTGAGATATGCACAAAGTTTAAGAAAGCTTAAACTTATATCTGTATTTTCTGTGTGCAATTTGACTACAGTACAAACTCCATAGCATGATTCGTGCGTTTTTGGTGAGATCAAACTGTATTTAATACCTGTAGTTTACTCTGGGCAAATTGCATTATTTAAAAATAAAATAAAACAACAGCCTCTCTGCATTCTCGGGGAGAAGTCTGCAGCGATGGTCTCCGTGGAGATCCTCAGCAGAACTGAACAGCCTCTCGGAGGGAACACTGCTTGGCGGAGCTCCAAGAAAAGACATCGCGATCGCTGCGAGATTAGGAGGCCTGATTGCGTTGTGTTTCCACCATTCCACAGGGTCGGCGGACCGGGGAGTGCAGGGCTCTGTCAGATTCAGTGACAGCTCCGTCTCCGCAGCGATTGAGGAAACTGTGGACTGAGATTCCTGTACAATTTCATCCCAGAAACTCCAGACTTGTAGTCTCCATGCAAGATTTCTTTGTCGGCGGCTCGATAAACAGTTTCTTTGTTTTCGATTTTGATTTCGCCAATCATCATTATTGGCATTTTCCTGCCTGGTTTCTTCTTCAAGACTCTGAACAATTGCTTTTACAGTCAGATGATTTTTTTTTTCGGTTGGAGCTGGATGGGTACAGCTTAAATCATGGGTCCAGCCTAAAAACCACCATTTAACTTACACTGATCAATTTCAACATGGACTGTTTTTGGTTTTTTGTTTTTAAATAAAGCATCATTAATGCACATCTGCAGGGTTTTGCCAAACAGCCCAAACTGTATACATTACAATCATTAAAAGTTCTTATTTTTTTTTAATATTAGTGCCGTTATCATGGAGAACAGCATGACAGCTGTCTTTGGCAGTCTGTCATTTTTCTAGCATTTTCAGAAACTCATCGGAAATGGCGGTACCTGTGTTTCCCTTCGAAAGCCTCTCAGTACAGCACTCCTGTTCCTCTGTTAAAACTCCTTGTTAATCCAGTGATCTTTTAGGCCAAGGAAATATTTTGTGGTGGTGTTCTGGGTCCATACACCAGCAATGAAGGAGATAGATTTGTGTACTTGTGTTTTTTAATCAGCATTAACATGGGCAGGCACCCTCATTTATAGATGTCAGGAAACATTCAGTGAAAAACTTGTAGAATGGGATGTGATAACGAGGTTCCAGTAATCTGAGCAGTCTAACGAGGCCCACCTCCTCCACCACAGAACGTGGCTATGTTCCAAGTGCTACTCTCACTCAGCCTGTTGCGGATCTTCATGGCCTCAGGAGACTTGTTTCTCCATGGGCTCTTCTGGACTGCACACTTCCACCATAGCTTGCTGGGCTGATCTAGATGTCTGTTTGTTGTATGGAAATTTTGGGGGAAAAAAATCCAAAACACAAACTGTGGGTTGAAATATTAACCGTCTCCTTGGTTCCTTGGTATTCACCGTGCCTGATCTGCACATTTCATCGTGGCTGTTTCTGTATAGCCTATACTGCATTAGCCCAAGAGATTGTTGCTTTGTAACTTTTTGCACTATTGTTTTGGCTGGATTTGTATTACACACAGTTTTAAAAAAAAAATTCCACACTATTCTCTGCCTTTTTTTTCCTATTTATTTCTTCCCGCACAAATTCCACATAGAGGCCTTCCCATCCAGCTCTACGTGATTTGGCTGCACTTGAACACTGTCCATTTACAACCCTCAGCAATGTGCCTCCTAAATGGCATGACATATGTAGATGTGCTGCAGCGCTTGTTAATGGTCACAATAAATGCCACTTCACCAAGGAAGTCTCAGATGAACAATTAAGAACATCCAAATTTTATTGGGGGGCAATAATCAACTGAATTGCAAAATTCAGGGGAAAATGGCACTATCCGTGTACGAATCGAATACAAATCAAAGATTTGTCACATCCCTAATAAAAACAAGATGGAGATGTCTCTGCAACCATATTTGTAAGCTACACAGTGTGTTGGGTTTTATGTCTTCCCCCTCCAAATTGAATGGTTCTTTGAATTGCTCCAAATCCATCAGCTATCCTGCAATTTTGATAGAATTGATTTTTAGGTTGGAACGTGGGCTCTGTTGACTGAAAATAGCTTTAGAGAGGAGAACTGAATTAAATGTTTTGATAGAGCGGTTGTAAATTAATCAGTCACTACCAGGAAGGTCAGAAGTTCTGAAGTTTTGACTCATTACTTCAGTGTTACAAAGAGAGCTGTGCTTTTTCCACACTAAAGATGAGTTTGGGAAAAGAAAATATTCTCCCACACAAAAAAAAATTAAAACAAACCTTAAGTACTATTTTAGGATTAATTTCAGTGTGTTGTATTAAGGTGCCAGCGAGATTTCAGATTCCTGTAAACCTCTAAAGAAAAGGAGTCGCGCCTCAACTGATGTAGAAATGACTAGTTCAGCATACAGAGACACATCTGACTCCGATTCTAGAGGACTGAGTGACCTGCAGGTAAATATGTGCAAAGGTCTAGACAAAGTGCTCTTTCTTGAACATAATGCTTTTGCCTTATTTATTTGGGGAAATTGGGACATTTTTTAAATACTCATAGACAAAATCACTTTGGTTATTTTGAGCTTCTTAATTCTTTTGCTCTCATGTTATATAACAAAACTATAGTTTGTTTGTAATTTTAACTACAGTTTTTCCCAAAACAGCAGACCTATGATATCTGTGGATTTTGGAAAGAAAGGAAGGAAGAAAGAGGTGGTTGTGTCAAGATCTAATGTTTGAGCAAGTCTTACTAGGATTTTCATAGCATCTTATCTTTGAGGGAATTTTTGTTTTGTTTTTCTTAAAAATGCTATGTTTTCTATGTAGGTAGGCTTTGGAAAGCAAGTAGATAGCCCTTCAGCTACTGCAGATGCAGACGTTTCTGATGTGCAGTCCATGGATTCAAGTTTGTCGAGAAGAGGCACTGGAATGAGTAAGAAGGACACTGTATGTCAGGTAGGCAGGTAACTGGTGTTATGGCTTGAAATAATTGCTATTATATTCTGCCAGTAATAGACTTAACTCCTGTTGAAGAGGGTAATATGTTTCTAAATTATTATGATATTACTTTAAAGCTATAGATCTAAAACCTCTTTCTGGTTCTTTTTTTCCCTTTCTGAGTTGGAATACTTACCCACATGCCAATCTTTAGTGTGATATACTATTATTAATTGGAAGTAAATGGCAGATGACTGATTGAAAAAACTTTCTTAAATTCAAAATTTTAAAGTAATAACTTTCTCAATGTATTTTTACTGTTCTTGAAAAATACTGCTTTGCCCTGTGAAGAAAAGTTAAATATGCAGATCCCAAAGAAGGAATCCTAAAAGATTAAGTATGACCTTAAACTTTATACCATATTGGATCTGGAAATACTGTAATTGTCTAGTTCTCTGGTTTTCAAAGTGAAGGCCAAGGACAAACAACATCAGCATCTTCTGGATATGTATTAGAAATGCACATTCTTGGGGCCCCCACCAGACCTACTGAATCACAATCTGTGGGTGAGGGACCCAGTAATTTGTGTTTAACAAGCCGCCCTTGTGGTCCTGATGTTTGCCAAAGTTTGAGAACCACTGCTTTTTGCCATATTACAGATTTGTGAAAACTCTGGTGACTCTCTGATTCCTTGTGAGGGAGAGTGCTGCAAACACTTTCACCTGGAGTGCCTGGGATTGACATCACTCCCTGATAGCAAGTTCGTCTGCATGGAATGTAAAACCGGTAAGATGACTTATTTTGATAGTCATGAAAAGATGAATGGGATTGTGCCAGGAATGTGCACTGGCAACCTCTCCTAGGACATCTTGTTCCCATCACTTTTATTAGCCCTCCTCCTCTCTTCCCAAAGGTATTTCAACAAATTAAGATTTGGCTTCAAGATTTAAAAAGTAGTTAAATTTCCTCCTACTGGTGCCTTCTACCATAAAATCTATCAAAGTACCAAGATGAATTTGTGTTTTATCTAAAGAGTTATACAAAGTATTTAATTGAGTTATTTTTCAGATGGGTTTGAGATTTTGGGGGCTCAATAAATTGGTTTAAAGTTCTTTAAGAGACTGGAATAAGTATCAGTGCATAACCACAGTGATTATATTTTTAGTGGAAATTTGGAGCTACTGGAAATCATTTTTTAAACTTGGGATTCACCATTTATTTCTTATCTCACTATACATAGACTACTACCTACCAAAATAATTTGTAGAGAAATAAATATGCTAGTTTATATTTCTTCTCTCTGTAGCTGTAATTCTGGTTAATATCGTGGAAAGCAAGTCGTAGTTGTTTAATCCGTAACAACATGGCAAATAAAAAATAACTGGAGATGAGAGGGACATGCTTCTAGGAACCATGTTGACGTGTTTTTTGTTTTGTTTTGCTTTGTTTTAGCTATGAGGAACTAAAGCCAATTGGATAGCAAGTATACATGATATGCTGACTCTTTGTTATTTTTCTACTCCTTTTCCTTTTATTTTGATTCTTACAGATACTTATTTTATCTTTTCTTATTTGATTGTATGCCTCCTAAAATCTTTCGGACAAAAAGTTAGTAATTTTTTTTTTTTTAAACTGAACACTGACTTACTAAGTGTTAGGTGCTACAAGTACTAAGCATTTTCTCCTGCTATTTCATTTGATCCATGATGAGATAGGTACTATTATGATTTCCATTATACAGAAGGAGAAACTGAGGATTAGAGAGTTTAGTAGCTTCCCCAAAGTCACAAAGATAGCCCATGATGACTCTGGGATTTAAACCCAGGCAGCTGGACTCCAGATTTATATTTTCTTTCTCATGGTCTTCTATTGCCCTGGTGAATAGAATGGACATCACAAGTCATATGTCATATATCCCAATACACAGTCATTCACATACATACACACACATACAAATACACACACACATACATAAAGTAAGCTTTGGAAGCTGCTTAGAACATATAACTTAAAATTTCTCCCTTATGAAATATTTTATTCATCACATTTAGACTCTGCAGTAAAACTTGTGAACAGTTTGCCAACTGGCAGCCCCTGGGTCATATTATCTGCACATCGTTTTATTTGGCCTTCAGAATGTATTTTCATTTTTGAACATAGGTGGAGCATGTAATCCTGGCTCTTCACATTCCCCATTATTCCTTTTTCTAAAACTCAGTCATTCAAGTCACTTATATATCCTGCCTGGCCCCTTTAAGCATTCACATATTGTATTAGGGAGTTCCTGCATTGCTATAAAGAAATACCCGAGATTGGGTAATTTATAAAGAAAAGAGGTTTAAATGGCTCACAGTTCTGCAGGCTGTATAGGAAGGATAGTGCCAGTATCTGCTCAGCTTCTGGGAAGGCCTCAAGAAACTTACAATCATGGCAGAAGGCAAAGTGGGAGTAGGCACTTCAAATGGCAAAAGCAGGAGCAAGAGAGAGAGTTGAGGGAGAGGGCTACACATTTTTAAATGACCAGATTTCACAAGCACTCACTCACTGTCGCAAAGACAGCACCAAGCCGTGTGGGATCCACCTCCATGATCCAAACACCTCCCACCAGACGTCACCTTCAGCATTGGGGATTAGATTTCAACAGGAGATTTGCGTGAGGACAAATATCCAAACTATATCAAGTATGCAATCCCTGATTTAAGATATTGATAGGAAGGACCATGTATCTCAGTATTAAAACACTCTTAGGGCTTCTCTCCTAACTCTAGAATCCAGGAGAATTCTACCAACAGAGGCTAGGTTTATTTAATTTGGTACACATCTGTTAGAAAATTTAAGAGGGAAATTTGCTTTAAAAACAGTTAAGTATGGGATGTTGTCAGTGAGAATGAAAAAAACTTTTTTATTAAAAAAAAAAAATTGGGTAGAACAAGGTCAGAGGACTCACATTTCCTCATTTGAAAGTATACTACAAAGCGACAGAAGTCAAAACAGTGTGATACTGGCATAAAGACAGACATATAGACCAATGGCATAGAAAGCCCAGAAATAAGCACTTGCATATATGGTCAAAAGATTTTTGATAAGGGTGTGAAGACTAGTCAGTGGAAAAAAAGACAGTCTTTCCAACAAATGATGCTGGAAGAGTTGGATATATGCCTGTAAAAGAACGAAGTTGGACCCTTACCCAACAGCATAAACAAAATTAATTCAAGATGAATCAAAGACCAAGATGTAAGAGCTAAAACTATAAAACTCTTGGAAGAAAACATAGCATAGAGGAAAAGCTTCACGACAATGGATTTGGCAGTGATTTCGTATATATGACACCAAAGGCACAGGCAGCAAAAGGAAAAACAGACAAATTGTACTTCATCAAAATTAAAACTTTTGTACACCAAAGGGTCTTATCAACATAATGTAAAGGCAACTCATAGAATGGGAGAAAATATTTGCAAATTCCATATCTGATAAAGCATTAATACCCAGAATATATAGAGAATGCCTTCAACTCAGCAATAAAAAACTAAACAACTCGAGTCAGGCATGGTGGCCCATGCCTGTAATCTCAGCACTTTGGGAGGCTAAGTCGGGCAGATCACCTGAGGTCAAGAGTTCAAGACCAACCTGACCAACATGGAGAAACCCCATCTCTACTAAAAATACAAAATTAGCCTGGCATGGTGGTGCATGCCTATAATCCCAGCTACTCGGGAGGCTGAGGCAGGAGAATCACTTGAACCTGGGATGCAGAGGTTGCAGTGAGCTGAGATCATTCCCTTGAACTCGAGCCTGGGCAACAAGAGCAAAACTCCGTCTCAAAAAAAAAAAAAAACTAAACAACTCAATTCAAAATTGGGCAAAGATCTTGAGCAGGTAGTTCTCCAAAGAAGATACTGCAGATGGCCAATATACACATGAAAATATGCTCAATATAATGAGTAATCAGGGGGCCAGGCGCAATGGCTCGTGCCTGTAATCCTAGCACATTGGGAAGCCAAAGCAGGTGGATCTCTTTGAGCTCAGGAGTTTGAGACCAGCCTGGGCAACATGGTGAAACTCTGTCTCTATTAAAAAAAAAAAAAAAAAAAAAGTAATCAGGGAAATGCAAATCAAAGCCACAATGAGATGCCACTTGATACCCATTAGAATGACTAGTATCAAAAAAAAGAAAACAACATGTTGGCTTAACTATGGAGAAATTGGAACCCTTGTGCATTGTTGGTGGGAATATAAAATGGTATAGTGGCTGTTGAAAACCCGATGACGGTTTCTTAAAAAATTAAACAGTAACAAATGATCAAGCAATTTCACTCGGGGTATATACCCAAAAGAACTGAAAGAAGGGGCCAGGCGTAGTGTCTCACGCCTGTAATCCAAGGATTTTGGGAGGCCAAGATGAGCGGATTGTTTGAGTCCAGGAGTTCTAGACCAGCCTGGGTAACATGGTAAAACCTCATCTCTACCAAAAATTAAAAAAAAAATAAAAAAAAATTAGCCTAGCGTGTGTCCATAGTCCCAAATACTCAGGAGGCTGAGGTGAGAGAATCACCTGAGCCCAGGAAGTCAAGACTGCAGTGAACTGTAATTACATCACTCCACTCCAGCCTGGGCAACCAGAGTGAGACTCTGTCTCTCAAAAAAAAAAAAAAAAGGACTCCAACAGATAATTGTACTTTCATATTCTTAGCAACATTATTCACAATAGTCAAAAGGTAGAAACAATCCAAATATCCATTGATGGATGAATAAACAAAATGTAGTATGTACCTACAATGGAATATTATTCAGCCTTAAAAAGAAATTCTGATACATGCCATAGCATGGATGAACCTTAAGGACTTTATGCTGAGTGAAATAAGCCAGGTATAAAAGGCCAACAAATATTGTATGATTCCATTTATATAAATTACTTGGAATAGTCAAATTCTTAGAACAGTAGTCACCAGGGTTGTGGGGGAGGGTGAGATGAGGAGTTCTTTTAATGGGTACGGAGTTTCAGTATGGGATGATGAAAATGTTCTGGAGACAGTGCTAACAATGTGAATGTACTTAATGCTACTGAACCATACACTTAAAAATGGTTAAAGTGTTACATTTTATGTTATATATATTTTACCACAATTATTTTTTTAAAATTAAGTGCTTTTAATTTACTTATGACATGAAAATTAGTTTGGTACCTATTTGGTACACTTCTAACATATTAGAAGTGAGAACTCTGATTCTTCAAACCATTGTTTTAGGTCATTTAGGCAGTTTTCCTTTGTTTACAAAAGATAAACACTTCACATGTAAGGAGTATTGCAGATACCTACCTAATATGTTCTTAAACTACCACTTTCTATCATTTAAGACGAATGTGATTTCTAGAAAGAAAGCATTTTTATTTGCCCTTTTGAATAAAATGTACAATAGAATAAGGCTCCAAAAAGAGTTCTGTAATAGGTAGTTTTACTTACTCTTTTTTTCCCCACTTCCCCTGTGGTCTTTGACTCTGGACTGATGGACTGACTTCTTTTTTTTGGTCCCATTGCCCAGGCTGAAGTGCAGTGGTGCAATCTCAGCTCCCTGCAGCCTCGACCTCCCAGGCTCAGGTGATCTTCCCACCCCAGCCTCCCGATTAGCTATGGGGACTACAGGCACGCACCACCATGCCCAGCTAGCTTTTTAATTAATTAATTAATTAATTATTTTTGAGACAAATTTTCGCTGTGTCGCCCTGGCTGGAGTGCAGTGGCGCAATCTCAGCTCACTGCAACCTCCACCTCCCAGGTTCAAGTGATTCTTGTGCCTCAGCCTCCCGAGTAGCTGGGCTTACAGGCACACACCACCACATCCGACTAATTTTTGTATTTTTAGTACAGCCAGGGTTTTCCCATGTTGGCCAGGCTAGCCTCGAACTCCTGACCTCAAGTGATCCACCTGCCTTGGCCTCCTAAAGTGCTGGGATTACAGGTGTTAGCCACTGTACCCAGCCTCCAGCTATTTTTTTGTACGTTTTTTTTTGTTTGTTTTTTGTTTTTTAGGTAGAGAGTTTTTACCATCTTTACCAGGCTGGTCCTGAACTCCCAGACTCAAGCAATGCACCCACTTGGCCTCCCAAAGTGCTGGGATTACAGGCGTGAGTCACTGTGCCTCACTACTCACTGATTTATTCTTAATGAAGGCCATTTCCTAGTGAAAAGGAAGAGTATGGAAAGCACTCACATGTTAGAGCTCTAACCTAAGTCTTAAAGGAGTTTGATAGTTCAGCTCTCTGTTAGCATAACACTTGCACTAGTTTTAACTATTTTCATTTATATTAGGCTTATTTTGATCATTACATAAATGAAGTCTTATTTTATGTTTTCTTGAGACAGGTTCTTGTTCTGTTGCCCAGGCTGGAGTGCAGGGGCGTGATCATAGCTCACTGCAGCCTCGACCTACCGGGCTCAATCCTCCCACCTCAGCCTCCTGAGTAGGTAGAACCACAGGCACATACCACTACACCTGGCTAATTTTTTAAAAATTTTTTTTAGAGATGGGGTCTTACCGTGTTGCCCAGGCTGGTCTTGAACTCCTGGGCTCAAGTGATCCTCCCACCTTGGCCTCCCAAAGCACTGGGATTACAGGCATGAGCCACCGTGACCATCTGAAGTCCTATTTTATTCTTACAGAGAGTAGTTTATGCATTAAGCACATGTGTGAAGTCAAACTTCCTACCTTTCAAATATATTTTTTTAATTTTTAAAACTTTTAAAAGTTATTTTAAAAATATAATTACCTTCATATCTATATACATGGTAAAATGTACTTTATTGGCCTTAACCATGTGGTGAAAAAATGTACTTTGAAATTACGTATATACAATGGGACCAAAACAAAACCCCACCTTACTGTACTTTATTTCTGCAAGACAATTTAAAAAGTGAACATCACAGTTTTAACTACTCATTTTAAAGAACTTTTATAATTCAGCCAATTTGTAAAGATTAGGTACTTCCAGAATCAAAGAACAATAATGCAGTTCACCTAACTTTCTGTAAAAAAACAAAACTATTCCTTATATTTTTTCCTTCAGATTTTGAATAGGCATTATAAGTGGACAAAAGACTTGAACATTTTCAAAAGATGATATCCAGATGACCAATAAACATTTGACAAGTTTGTTGTTATAATTTGCAATTCTCTGCTTAAAGTTAAACATTTCTTTCTGTATATTTATTGACTCTTGTGAATTATCTGTTTATGTGTCTTATCCATTTATGTTTTGTGGTGTTAAAAGTGTTCTTATCATTTGTTAATATTTTAAATTTATTTCTAATTACACAAGTAAAACATAACCACATTGTTTTGAAAATATTATAATTACTGTTCTTGCTGATGTCACCCTTGATCATCAGTCTTAATCCTAGGCCCTTACTTAATACCAGTCCCGACAACCATTGTCAGTTTGATGTGTAGCCCTATAAACCTTTGTGTGTGTCTGTGTGTGTGTTGTAGTATAAATGTATCATACCATTGTTCTGCCGGAGCTCTTTTTATGTCAATACAGATGCATTCTATTTAATTGCTGCATAGTGCCCTAGTATACATATATTCATAGTTTATTTAACTCTTCCCCTGTCGAAGGACCCTTGAGTTACTTTCAGTTGTTTGCAATTACAAACAATGTTTCAGGCAACATCCTTTAACATTTACTCTCAGTCTTCCCCAATGTAGTTATTGAGAAATTGAATTTCTAGGCAGAAAGTGAATGTACTTTCATTTTAATGACTATTGCCCAGTTGCCTTCTAAGGTAGCTCATTCCAACTTAAACTTCTACCAGCCCCCTACACCCTTATCAATAATTAGTATTATCACTGTAGTCCCAATTTCTCTGGATTCTAGGGCATGAGAATCACTTGAACCCAGGCGGCGAAGGTTGCAGTGAGCCAAGATCACATGACTGTACTCCAGCCTGGGCGACAGAGCAAGACTCTGTCTCAAATAAAATAATAGGTATTATCAAACTCTTTTAAGTTTTTTTCTGTTTGTTTGTTTGTTTGTTTTGTTTATTTTGAGATGGAGTCTCACTCTGTTGCCCAGACTGGAGTGCAGTGGCATGACTTGGCTCACTGCAAGTTCTGCCTCCTGGGTTCATGCCATTCTCCTGCCTCGGCCTCCCGAGTAGCTGGGACTACAGGTGCCTGCCGCCACGCCCGGCTAATTTTTTTGTATTTTTAGTAGAGACGGGGTTTCACCATGTTACCCAAGATGGTCTTGATCTCCTGACCTCGTAATCCACCCGCCTTGGTCTCCCAAAGTGTTGCGATTACAGGCATGAGCCACCGCGCCTGGCTGTTTTTTTTCTATTTTATAACCGGTTTCAGTTATCATTTATCTGATTACTAGTGAAGATGAACATATTTTAATTTTCTTTTGGCTATTTGTCTTTCTGTGAATTGCCTGTTTACATCCTCTGCTCACTTTTACATTAGGCTGCTGTGGTTTTTTTCTATATTGATTTGTAGTTTGTAAGTCTTATTCCATTATCTTTGCTTATATATGTTGTGTGCATTTTCTCCATATGTAAACTGTTTATACGACAAAACATAATCTTTTGTCATTTTTGTTGCATGTTTCCCTATATCTGTTTGTCTTTTACTTGTTTCTTCTTTTTTTCCTGTTTAGTTTTTTCGTATTTGGCATTATTTTCTTCCTTGAATGTCTGACATATTCACCAGTGGAGCTATCTGGGCCTAAAATTTTTTTTGTTGAAAGATTTCCAATTATAGTTTCAATTTCTTTTAATAGTTTACAGAACTATTCATATGTCCTGTTTGTTTTTGTGCCAGTGTTGGTAAGTTCTTTTTTTCTAGGAATCTGTCCATTCATCTAAATTTTCAAATTTATTAGCAAAAATATAGTGATACCCTTTTACTATCTTTTTAATGTTTGTAGGATTTGTAGTGATGTTCCATTTTTCATTTCTGATATTAATATTAGGACCTTTCTCCTTTTTTTATTATTCTTACCAGAGGTAATCAATTTTATTATTCTTTTTTTTTTTTTTTTTTTTTGAGACGGAGTCTTGCTCTGTCGCCCAGGCTGGAGTGCAGTGGCCGGATCTCAGCTCACTGCAAGCTCCGCCTCCCGGGTTTACACCATTCTCCTGCCTCAGCCTCCCGAGTAGCTGGGACTACAGGCGCCTGCCACCTCGCCGGCTAGTTTTTTGTATTTTTTAGTAGAGATGGGGTTTCACCGTGTTAGCCAGGATGGTCTTGATCTCCTGACCTCGTGATCCGCTCGTCTCGGCCTCCCAAAGTGCTGGGATTACAGGCTTGAGCCACCGCGCCCGGCCAATTTTATTATTCTTTTTCAAAGAACTAGGTTTTGTTAATTCTCCCTAGCAAATGTTGATTTCACTTCATTCTTGACGAATATTTTTACTGGGTATAGAATTCTGGTTTGGTAATTATTTTCTTTCAGCCCTTTGAAGATAGCATTCTATTGCTTTTTGGCTTCCCTTTTTCTCTTTCAGTCAGCTCTGTTTGAAAGTAATTGTCTTTTTTTGTGGATAATTTGAATATTTTCTTTGTCGTTGATTTTCTGTAGTTCGAATAAGATATGTCTAGCTGTAATTTTCTTTTTTATTAGGATTGTGAGTTTTCATTTTATGTATATTTTGTACATAGAAATAATCAGTGATTATCTAATGGAATCTGTCTTTCCTTTGGTAATTTATTTATTCTATGTGGGGAAGACTTTGCTGCTGTCTGCTACGAGATGTTAAACTCTGTTCTGGCTTTTCTGTGGAATCAGTTTTGGAGATCTAAATTGTTTTTAGTATTCTGTCTCCAAATTGATAATCAAATATTCTAGCAAAATTTAAAACATAATTTGAATTTAGCATTTATTTTAAGTGCTTTTTTGTGCATTAAATTCTTAAATATAGTATTAGAGTCTGTTTTAGGAGTAGCTGTTTGATGTCTATAGCTGCTGCTACTTGAATATGCTTTAGTCAATTTTATTTGATTTATATTCCTCACCAATTTTACAGGGCAGCACCCATGTTTCTCGTGTAAAGTGTCTGGTAAAGATGTGAAGCGTTGTTCTGTTGGTGCTTGTGGGAAATTTTATCATGAAGCCTGTGTCCGCAAATTCCCCACTGCCATCTTTGAATCAAAAGGATTCCGCTGTCCTCAGCACTGCTGCTCTGCCTGCTCTATGGAGAAAGATATCCACAAAGCAAGTAAAGGTAAAACAGCTGAAGAAGAGACAAAGATTTTTGTTTTAAGTGCAGTGGCAAATAACATTATCAATTATATATTACAAACAACATAGGGCATTCTCCTTCTGTGTATCTCTCGCTTTAACAGTTCAGCCACAGTACGTGTTAAGTAGAGATTACGTTCCAAATTCAGACCATGAGAAGAAAATTCCATGTGTTCCAAATACCCTTGAAAGTCCTTCAGTTAGGTGCCCTGTTGGATACCACCATCTCTGCAGCATTGGGACAAATAATTTTTTCTTTGGACGATCTCTAAGTGACTATTAGGCTTACATTTAGGGGCCATATAGCATAGGATGACAGAGCCAGACTAGGGAAGAAAAAATGCTTTATATCTACTGTAACTAGCATCTCATGGGGACCCAAAAAAGTCCAACTCCAAAAACTCCTTTTTATGTCCTGCGGATGCCTTATTAGATTGCTTTTTGACTTGTCTTTAAACAGGCCGCATGATGAGATGTTTGAGATGTCCAGTTGCCTATCACTCTGGAGATGCTTGCATTGCGGCTGGAAGCATGTTAGTATCCTCCTACGTTCTCATCTGTAGTAATCATTCCAAACGGAGCAGTAATTCTTCTTCTGCTGTAAATGTAGGCTTTTGTTTCGTTTGTGCCAGAGGTGAGTGTCTAACTTTTCTCTTCATTTATTTTTGAGATCATTGGCATATTTCTTCATTAACATAGAGTCTCAGCATTGGGAAAGAACTCAGGCCATCTAGTAGAATCTTCTACCCAGTGCAGAATTCCACTGTAATATATCCCTGAGAGAGATGAACATTCCAGTAACTTTTATAATGCCAGATGTCCAAAGTGTTAGAATAGTAATTCTTCCATAAGTTAAGCTAAAATCTGCATTTCTAAAAATAACAGAATTATAGTTAAGTTCTTAGTTTTTCTGTTTGGAGCGTTAAAAGATTAATCTTTTCCCTTCTGCAAACAACTCTTCTATTCAAAGCAGATCCTTCCCATGTTATAATCTTAAACCAGAACTTTCAAGTGATTGAGATTTCACTTGGAAGGCAAGACCAGCACATCTATTTTTCAGTTGTTTATGTTGTATTTTATCATAATGTTTTGATCTGGCATTGAGGAGGGCCTGATGGGACACAGCCAAGGCAGCATATGTGGTGGTGTTAGTTCAGAGCCAGCCATGTGGGCTTTCTTAAAGCCAGCTGTTGGTATTTAAGTATGCCAAGAGATTGATCAACTAAAAACAATACTGTAGCCCTACAGGGGTCAGTGAACCTGGGTTCGTGATAAATATAAAATGAAACTTCTTTAGTTGAATGTTAAAAGAGAATATCTGGCTTTATCTCAGCCATATTATAATAAAACTTTTTTGGTACTTAGTAAGTGTTATAAAAACCAACTAATATCCCTAAATATTGCTTTCGTTTTGTTTTTAAGTGCAAAGTTTTCTGACCTTCCCTCTGTCTGAACTATTCTCAAGGCCTCTAAGGCCCATCATGCTTGTTAGATTCTATTTAGACCATACCGAAGATGAAAGTAGTTTTTGTTTGGTTGGTTGGTTTTGCTTTAGGGGACAGTTATTTTAATTTGGTGAAAGTACTATAACAACTTTTTAAAATAGAATTTAGGTAGTATGATAGATCTTAGGTGGTTTTGCTTTTGTATCTCATTATGAAAACATTACTTGGAGGTAGGCAGGAAAAGATTAAATCGTAGTCCTTTGTGGAGTAGCTGGCGGGGTCTGTAGTAGACACTACTTTCTGTTTGCCTGCTTTATAAGCACATGTGACTGTCTGCCTTTGGAGCAGGAAGTACTGTGTCTTTCTTAACTACAGCAGTGTCAAATGTATCCTGCTCTGAAACCTGGCTGGTATCATGGAGGAGTAGGTCTGAAATGTTTCCTGCCATATGGTAACAGGTGGGCAAATAATAAATAAAAAGGTGTCACTCATTGCCTTTCCTATCTCTGCATTCCTAAGAAAGTGATGATTAGAAAAAATCATTGTATTATCAGTTGAATATTTAGCTTTAGAGTCTTTTAAACAGATGAGTGGCAGTGATAACATAAAGTCATTCTTATTGCTTTGCAAACTCTGTGCTACCATTGCTGGGCACTGACATTTCCTGTCAGTGTATAAGCATGTATCATTTAGCCTGTATTTTAATATCAAGTTTATAACTATTATGTTGGCTTATGTTGGGGCACATTCTGAATCAAATGCCATCAGTAGATTAATCAATATTCTCTTTTGCTCTACTTCATTCAATAATTGGGATACCTTTAAAATAGGTATTTTCTGGCTGGGCACAGTAGTTCACGCCTGTAATCCCAACACTTGGGAGGCTGAGGCAGGAGGATTGCTTAAGGCCAGGAGTTCAGGACCAGTCTGGGCAACATAACAAGACCCCATCTCTACAAAAAATAAAGGAATTAGCCAAGCATGGTGGTGTGTGCCTGTAGTCCCAGCTACTCAGAGGCTGAGGAGGGAGGATCACTTGAACCCAGGAGTTCAAGACTGCAGTGAATTGTGAAACAAAATATACTATTTTCAATTTAGGACAACTAGAAAATTGTACGCTTATAGAAACTCTAGCCATTTTGTTAAATTTAACTTACATAACTTGATTAAAATTCTGAGAATAATGTCAGTGGAGGGAAAACCCATGTTTAACAACAGAATCAGTATTTACATCTTAATAATTTGACAGTTATTCTGGAATATTTACTGAATTTAAATGCCTATTTAAGCAAAATTATTTAATTCCCACATATTTAACTGTGAGACTTTGTATGGTAAACATAACCTTCATTTTATTTTTTAGCATTTGACAAAGACTTACTCTAAATAGATCAGATGTTGGGAAGGCTTAAATCAAAAGTCTTTCACAAGTAAATAATATGTGTTCTTTTATAAATATTTATAAAGGTCACCTTTTTAAAGGAGACATAACTAATAAATCCACACACAGAAAGGAGCACGTTAGTCATTTATGTTTGGGTATTAGAAAACTTAGCTTGTCTTGCTTGTTTCTTGCCTCATACAGAATTTTTCCCTTCACATAGATTTTCTCTTAGTTCTTGGTTATTGGGTGTTTAGAATCATTAAACTATTTCTTAAGGACTACAATGTCTGGCAGTATTTTTCAAAATGTTTCAGGGTTTGAGGAACATCACTCCTCTTCCACATGCCACCTAATTGTAGATTCACAAGAAGCATGCAGACATTTTTCAGTATAGTGCTTATTCTTTAGCATCTCCTTTCATCTTAGAGAGCTGGGTAAATTGAGTTACTTAGCATTCTATGCCCTTCTTTGTAATGGTACTTTTAAATGGGTAATGTAGGCTGGAGTTTTCTTTTCATTTTAACAGTAAATAATAGCAATTTATTTTGCATATGTAAGTCGAACTTTACTAAACACTATCTGAATGAATTGCCACAGTTTCCCTAAGAAGTTCTCTCTCCATGGTATACAGGTGAGAACACTGAAACCCAGATTAAATAATTTACCTAATGTCACACAAGTTAAATGGAGGGACCAGCATTTGTACTTGATCCTTCTTATTTCAAAGCCCATATTCTTTTACACTACACCATCTCCCTCTATTAAATGTATGAAATGTATGAAGTTTATTTCAACATTATATAACTTTTTTTTTTGAGACGGAGTTTTGCTCTTTTTGCCCAGGCAAAAAGATCTCAGCTCACTGCAACCTCTGCCTTCTGGGTTCAAGCGATTCTCCTGCCTCAGCCTCCCAAGTAGCTGGGATTACAGGCATGCACCACCACACCTGGCTAATTCTTTTGTATTTGTAGTAGAGACTGGGTTTTTCCATGTTGGTCAGGCTGGTCTTGAACTCCCGACCTCAGGTGATCCGCCTGTCTTGGCCTCCCAAAGTGCTGGGATTACAGGTGTGAGCCACTGTGCCCGGCCTATATAACTTTTATTAGAAGATTCTGGCTGAGCACCATGGCTCATGCCTGTAATTCCAACATTTTGAGAGGCAGAGGTGGGAGGATTGCTTGAGCCCAGGAATTCAAGATCAGCCTGGGCAACATAGCAAGACCTCGTCTCTACAAAAAAATCAAAAACGTAGCCAGGCATGGTGACAAACGCCTGTAGTCCTAGCTACTTGGGAGGTTGAGGTGGTAGGATCACTTGAGGCCCAGGAGGTCAAGGCTGCTGTGATCACGCCCTGGACTCCAGCCTGGGTAACAGCGTGAGACCCTGTCTCAAAAAAAAAAACAAAAAGAAGACTGTCATATTGTTAGTAATTTCAAGTTCCATTCTGTTATTTAGGCCAGAGATATTTCTTGAATTTGTCTCAGTGTAGAGTATTAAGATAATGCCCACAGAGAAAAGTAAATGGTAATTTCCCTCCCCTTCAAAATGATCTCTAAATAAAACTGCTGCCATAATTTGTATTCTAAAATCCTACATCGTTATACATTCATGCAGTAGCCAAGATAGAGGATAGAGAAATGTCCCCTGGTCTCACAGTTGCCTAGGTTTAGGAGTGGCTTGTAGCTACATCATGAATTAACTGGGAGAGGGGGAAGGGAAAGAAGAGGGAACCACAGGTAGCTTTAGTGTTTTCCTCCAAGTAGCAGAGCTATAATTGGTAGATCAAAAGGATTGATTTTATTAACCCTTTATATCGTCTCAGGGAAAATATGAAAATGTTTGCATTACCTCAGTAAAGTTCAGGAAATTATGGCTCCTTTAAAATCATGTACCAGACCTGGCACAGTGGCTCATGCCTGTAATCCCAACATTTTGGAAGGCCAAGATGGGAGGATTACTTAAGGCCAGAAGTTAGAGACCAGCCTGGGCACAGAAGCTATTATAGACCCCATCTCTATAAAAAATTTTAAAATTATCCTGGTGTGGTGGCATGTACTTATCTGTAGTCCCAGCTACTCGGGAGGCTGAGGCCAGAGGATTGCTAGAGCCCAGAAATTCAAAGGTGCAATGAGCCATGATCACACCACTACCCTCCAGCCTGGGTGACAGAGCAAGACTCTGTCTCAAAAAAAGATAAAATATAATATAAAGTGAAATAAAACATGTACCATATTGATAGGGAAGAGTTTCACTATCTGGCAGAGAAAGTTAGGATTTCTTTGAGTGTTTCTGAAGATATGAATAGAAAAAAGGAGAGACTTCCATTCTACCTTAAAGTGCTACTTGTTATATTGAAGGTAGATCAGGGTCTACTTATGTAAATGATTCTTGTTTCAATCTCATTACATGATATATAATATCCTTTTGTTCTTTGGGTTGTCGTCATTGTACATCCAAATATGAAGCAGTGTAGCTTTGTTTTCCCTAAGGGGTTTTCTGTATGATTTCAAGTGTTTATATCTTCAAATTATTTGAAGTTTTCTTCTGCAGAATATAGGTTTCTATAATATATAGGGATAAGGAATTGAGTAGTTCAGACTCCCTTTGAAAACTATAGAAAACCTTTCTGTCAGATCTTTCTTTTTTCTTCATATTCTCATTTTCGCCCTCCCCCCCCAACTTTGAAGCATACATAATAGGTGTTGGTTTATTTTTTCCTCATGGAATCATGGGTAGTTTCATTGCAGCTCATCTCTTTCTGTTTGTTTCGTATAGGGCTGATAGTTCAGGACCATTCAGACCCCATGTTCAGTTCATATGCCTATAAGTCCCACTATCTACTGAATGAATCAAATCGTGCTGAGTTGATGAAATTACCTATGATTCCTTCTTCGTCAGCTTCCAAAAAGAAATGTGAGAAAGGTAATAATCAAAATAGTTTCTCTTGCTTTTATTTTTGCATTTCCTATTTTTTTCTCTTTCAATGTAGGGGGGAAATGTATGCCTGTCAAGCACCATCTGTTGCTTTTGGTAAATTCTGCCTTGGTGGTTGTGATTGTGTCTTCATATGGCTGCACAATTATTAAAAAGGGCTTAAAATAATTCCATTATTGCAAATTTTTACTTATTCTTCCCTTGAATAAATTTTCACACATTCCATATTTACAAGTTATTAAAATAGAAAGACTAGGATTTTGGTCAGTATAAATATAGAATAATATTCTAAATGTTCTTTCTCTTTTTCCTGGTGTGAAACTATCATTCAAGTTGGAATAGAAAAGATAGGGTATAATTTGTTACTAACTTGCAACTAATAAGGTAGGTTGTTAAAAGAGGGAAACTAAGATACTGATACTTAAAAGTTTGCTTTTAGAATATGTTCTGTCATTGTGCTCTTAAATGTTCGGTTAAGATGCTATGAAAAGTAGTTGCCCTTCCCTTAGGAGACATTGGTAGGAAGCTGGTGGGGGAGAATACCCCTAATGCTGGATGCTGGAAGGCAGCCCAGCTGAATTGCTGATGGATAATTATCCACACAGTACCAAGAGCTAAATAGATATTTGTATTCTCCCAGTTAATTTAACCTATGGAAGATAACTTTATATTGTGTTTAGTTTCCATAATCCTACCTGTTATAAAAATGATTTAACAATGATGTATTATTTGGGGAATTATTATCCCATAGGGAAAAATAAATGAGCTTGAAAGATGAGGGCCTTTTCCTGTGTACATTCCCATTATGATCTGGGGCCAAGTTCAGAATCTTTAAAGAAAACTTCATTCATAACTAATATACCATACACACACACACACACACACACACACACACACACTAGGTGTATTTGAAATGGGCTTTAAAAAAATTCTTTGTGTTGCCTGTTTGATGTATCTTTGCTCTTTGTCAGACATCTGAAGTGGCAACTCTTGACTAAAAGAAAGTGCGACTCAGCAAGTCGATTGGAACATATTAGAAGTATTGGAGAGAGTACTGGCTTTTTTGTCTGTTTTCCCCAGTCAGATTATATCACTTTATTGATAATACTGCCTGCTTTCAAAACAAAAAATGAACATAGGTTTGACTCACTCCATAATTATTCTGCCTGAGACATTTTAGGAAATGCTTTATATTCCTGCTGGTACCTATATAAAATTAGATTAATTCAATTGTTGCTTACTTTGTTTTCAGTACTCAGTATTAACTTTGACATGAATTGAAATTATTTTGAGCCCTCTGTTTGCTTAACTTGAACCATATCTCACTTCTCTTGTATCCCAGTTTTCTTGCATAGCACCAAAGTGGACCATTCATATATTTTTTATTTCCCTTGTGTATTTTAATCATCTTTATCATGACAATTTTCTCTGATGATTCTGGCTCTGTATTTCCTCTGAAATAAGACTTAAAATTAAGAACTATTCCATAATGTTAAAAATGACCAGCCTGACTTTTCTACGTCAGTGCTAATAATCACATGTCCTCTAAAGCTGTTTGCAGACTTTTCTCCCTACTGGTCATTCCTTTCTGATGGAAAAAAAAGGAATAATCTCATTTTACTTTAAATTTATAGATGAATTCCCTACCTAAGTTTAGAGCACTTGGGCATCTGATCTCTAGGTTGGTAAACTGAACCAGTTAATCCATATTGAGATGTAGTCCCAGAAAAAAAAATCTTGATGGTTGAAGTAAAAGCTTTTAAGCAGAGGAAATATAGTAATTTAATTCATCATGGGTTGTATATGGATTTTCTTTTTGTTTTTATGTTAATCAGAAGTTTGAAAATCTATAGGAAGACAAGATTTTCTGGAAAATTGGTAGCAAGCCCTCAGAAGGTTGGAGCATGTGATTTGATAAAGTTGCATAGAGGGCTCTTACCCTTTTGCTTATGAGACTTTAAATCTCGGTACACTCATGAGTTATAGACCTGATTTTCCAATGAAAAGATCCGGTTTTTTTCCAATAAATATTTGTCTTTATTATATTTCATCTTCAGTGGTTAACAACATTCTCTGTCACGTATTGAAATACATATTAGAAATACCTAATTTCCTCCCAGAATTTCATATTTCTTAGCATTTACAACTATTTTGTTTGCCACACCTATTTTGGTCTCAGTCCAGAGAGTATTTTGTGTATCTAAAAGGAAAGAGTTTTGACAGGGAACCTGGAGTGAGCCCCTTGCATATGGTACTTCATTCTATACTGATAACTACTTAATTTTATGCTATAAAGCAGTGGTTCTCAATATGAAGTCAGAAGAGACGTAAACAAAATTTTTGAACTATGTTTAATATTTCAGAAAATCTAACAGAATTACACATTTGTACAGAATCAGGCTGCATGAGTTTTTTAAATTTGGCTATGATTTAACAATTTAATGTGATAATACTAGTTTTGTTATTGGGATCAGAATCTCTGATTAGCAGTTATATATTTCTTTGGTTAATAAAAATTGGAGAAATTGTTACTTTTAAAATGCAGATTTTGGCCAGGCATGGTGGCTCACGCCTGTAATCCTAGTGCTTTGGGAGGCTGAGGCAGGAGGATTGCTTGAGGCCAAGAGTTCAAGACCAGCCTGGGCAAGATAGTGAGATCCCGTCTCAAAATATATTCTCTGTATATATAGAGAGAGAATACATACACACACACACACACACACACAGGTTTTTTGGTTGTTGATAAAATACTTGAAATGATATGGGTTCATGAGGAGGGAAAAGGGAATCCTTGGTGATGAAAAAGTTGCAAACCACTGCTGTATAGCCTGTATATCTTCACCAAAAGGTAATGATAACATAATCACCAATTTGAGATTCTGTGTTCCTTTTGCTTTTTGTATTCTTTATGGAAAGAAAAAAGTACTGATCAACCTATTGGCTATTTTTTTCTTGCTAATTATATTGTAAAGGAATTTAGTTAACCATGGCACTGGATTAAAATACAACAATGACTTGCTTTCTTTTTTACCTCTGAAAGAGAAAAGAAAGTTGCTACTTACATGTTTGAAAAACCTCTCAAATCTACTCAGTCAAAAGATTTTATGCTTCAGTTTGGTCATATGTTAAGAGTTTAGCTTCTAAACTGATACCTCAGTAGCCCATAGTTTAAAGGAGTAAAGAGTACATGGATGCTTTTGGTACTACTCAGAAGCTCTGAGTTTCTGGCCACTGAAACCCTGAAAAGTAGCTAAATACATTCATTTGCTATTTTAATCCATCACTGTAGATATGACTCAGTCCCTTTGTTATTTTCCCCCAATTTGAATCAGATTTAATGTGCTGAAAAGATAACTTTCTCCTTTTTCTTTGTTTTTCTCTCTCCTCTTTTCTCAGTTATTAAGACTGTTTATTTGTTTCAAGGTGGAAGATTGCTCTGCTGCGAATCATGCCCAGCTTCCTTCCACCCGGAATGCCTGAGTATAGAAATGCCAGAAGGCTGCTGGAATTGTAATGACTGTAAAGCTGGCAAGAAACTACATTACAAGCAGATTGTTTGGGTCAAATTGGGAAATTACAGGCAAGTTTTTCCAAGAACAAAGAGGAAGTATCAGTCATTGTGCAGACCAGTTTCATGCTCTGGGTGCAGAGGGGCTTGGAGATAGAGAGGTAGACAGCGTGGACCTACTTCCTTAAAAAAAAAGAAAAGAAAAGAACCATGTTTTGAGGCTGGATTCTTAAGGGGTTGGGAAGGTTATGTTCCTAATTCATTATTGAATTTTTTTCTTTTTCTTTTTCTTTGGGATTGGTTGGTTGATTGTTTGTTTGTGAGACAAGGTTTAGCTTATCACCAAGGCTGGAGTGCAGTGGTGTGATCTCGGCTCACTGCACCTGCTAGCTCAAGCCATCCTCCCACCTCAGCCCCCAAGTAGCTGGGATTACAGGTGCACACCACCACCCTGGCTAGTTTTTTGTATTTTTAGTAGAGATGATGTTTTGCCATGTTGCCCAGGCTGGTCTCGAACTCATGAGTCAAGTAGTCTGCCCACCTCAGCCTCCCAAAGTGCTGGGATTACAGGCATGAGCCACCATGCCCACCAATTTTTAAGTCCTGAAAGTTGTTTTATACTAATGGGCTATGTAACTACTAGATTTTGGAATAAAAGTTCTTATGTGGACAGTGGAGATGATTTTTTTTTAACTTTTAAATTATTATTATTATTATTATTATTGTTTGAGACGGAGTCTCACTCTGTTGCCCAGGCTGGAGTACAGTGGCACGATCTCGGCTCACTGCAAGCTCCGCCTCCCGGGTTCACACCATTCTCCTGCCTCAGCCTCCTGAGTAGCACCCGCCACCACGCCTGGCTAATTTTTTGTATTTTTAGTAGAGATGGGGTTTCACCGTGTTAGTCAAGATGGTCTCAATCTCCCGACCTCATGATCCGCCCGCCTCGGCCTCCCAAAGTGCTGGGATTACAGGTGTGAGCCACCGCGCCCAGCCTTAAAATGTTTTTTTAATTTAAATTGAATAAATATAGTGAGATATGGAGTCTCACTGTATTGCCTAGGCTGGTCTCAAACTCCTGGGCTCAAGCGATCTTCCTGCCTCAGCCTCCCAAAGTGCTAGGATTATAGGAATGAGCCACCACACTTAGCTAGATTTGATATTTTCTTTGTGTCTTAATTAGATACATGTTGATTTCTGATTTCTAATAAAATCGTTTATATTCTGGTCAAAATAGCTCTTTGCCCCTGAATCTCGTCCATTTTAGCCCTAAACCATGTGTAAAGAGAAAACTTTATAGAATTTAAGTAGAGATTATTCCATTAAGAGGCTTCAGTCTTAAGGGAATGAAGCAGGAAGTATGTGAGTACCATTATTTTAATAACACTTTCTCCTTTAAGGCTTTCAACGAGCCTTCGCTGAACAGGTATAGTGATACAGTTTTAAAGCTTGGCCAGGTACAGTGATTCATGCCTGTAATCCTAGCACTGTAGGAGGTTGGGGCAGGTGGATTGCTTGAGCTGAGGAGTTCAAGACCAGCATGGGCAATGTGACAAAACCCTCTCTCTACAAAATATATATACAAATTAGCTGGGCATAGTGGCGTGCCAGGTGTGGTAGCATCATAACTACTCGGGCGACTGATTCTGGAGGATTGCTGGAGCCCAGGAGGTTGAGGCTGCAGTGAGCCATGATTGTGCTACTGCACTCCAGCCTGGGCAACAGAGCAAGACCCTGTCTCTAAAAAAAAAAAAAAAAAAAAAAAAACTAAAAAACTCTACATTTTGAGGCAATTTATCATTTTACTAAGAAAATAGATACTATTCGAGATAGCACAATAGAGTTCTGCTTTTCAGTTAGAATCCTAGATAAAATATATTTCTTTTTTTTTTTTTTTTTGAGATGGAGTCTCACTCTGTCACCCAGGCTGGAATGTAGTGATGTGATCTCTGCTCACTGTAACCCCCACTTCCTGGGTTCAAGCGATTCTCCTGCTTCAGCCTCCCAAGTAGCTGGGATTACAGGCACCTGACACCACGCCTGGCTAATTTTTGTAATTTTAGTACAGACGGGATTTCACTATGTTGGCCAGGCTGGTCTTGAACTCCTGACCTCAGCTGATCTGCCCGCCTCAACCTCCCAAAGTGCTGGGATTACAGGTGTGAGCCACCATGTCCGGCTGTAAAATATATTTCTAGAAAATTTCTAACATACTGTAATTTTTTTAGCAAGAGCTATGTTTGTTCTCTCTCTCTCTCTTTTTTTTTTTTATTAATTTTTTTGAGACAGTCTTGCTCTGTCGCCAGGCTGGAGTGCAGTGGTGTGATCTTGGCTCACTGCAGCCTCCGCCTCCTGGGTTCAAGTGATTGTCCTGCCTCAGCCTCCTGAGTAGCTGGGACTATAGGTGCGCACCACCACACCCAGCTAATTTTTGTATTTTTAGTAGAGATGGGGTTTCACTATGTTGGCCAGGATGGTCTCAATCTCTTGACCTCGTGATCTGCCCGCCTCAGCCTCCCAAGGTGCTGGGATTATGGGTGTGAGCCACTGCGCCCAGTCTGTTCTCTCTCTTTTACATATGTTACAAGTTTAACCATTTAAATTTTAGAACTTCATTTTTAGCTGAGATCTGGGGTATTGAGATCAAACCTCCCCCTGCTTCTTTTTCTTTCTTTCTTTTTTTTTTTTGAGACGAAGTCTTGCTGTGTCCCAGGCTGGAACGCAGTGGTACAATCTTGGCTCACTGCAGCCTCTGCCTCCCGGGTTCAAGCGGTTCTCCTGCCTCAGCCTCCCGAGTAGCTGGGATTACAGATGTATGCCATGACGCCTGGCTAATCTTTGTGTTTTTATTAGAGATGAGGTTTCACCATGTTGGGCAGGCTGGTCTCGAACTCCTGACTTCAAGTGATCTGCCTGCCACAACCTCCCCAAGTGCTGGGATTACAGGCTTGAGCCACCCAACCCGGCCGATACAATGTGTTTTTAATACCTGGAAAGAAACACATCTAATGTTAATAGTGTCAAGGATGAGATTACAAGAAGAGGCATTTTCACTTTTCTGTTATACATTTCTGCATTGCTTTAATTTTTAAAAGAAGTGCATACTGCTTTCATAATTGAAAAATATGTATCTTTCTGGTGTGGAGAAGGGTGCACAGTTTGAAAATTAATATATTTAAGTCATTTCTAGATAAGAAATACCTAAAAGAATGTAAGAAGCCTTCAGATCTTCAAATAAACTTCAGTTTTTTAAAAGTTATGAATATGAAAATGTCTGACTTATTTTAATACTTAAGTTTTAATTACATTACATTTTAAAGAACCCAAAACAGTGCTCCAATTAAGTTCACAGTCCAATGAGATTTTGTATCTAGGTCAGATTCTTCTTGTATGTTTTGGAAAGACTTCCATCCATGAACTAATTCTTAATGTATTTCTTTCTGATCAGGCCCAGTGGGGCTGCATGAAGCTGTTTATTTTCAATAACCAGTTACTCCAATGTATTGCTTCTTGGGGGAAAATAGGAGGACCTGGAACAAACCCAGGCAGAATGTGTGCCTCTTCCTAACTGACGTTAGTGAAGGCAGTAACTGTATACATATTTACCTTAAAGTTGTTTAGAAATAGAGCCTGCTTTGAGAACGAACCAAATATCTATCACAGAAAATAGTGGTTTTTGTTTTGTTTACAATATGAGCATGGATTCTTACCCATGTTTTTAATTCTTAGATGAACAGCAGAGTACCTTTCAGGTGACACTTTATCATCAAGTTCTGCAATATGAAATCGGGGAGTGCAATCATGTCACCATTTATCTTCTCAGTAATACAGTTATGTGTTAAAAAATTGTTTTATTAGGCATATGTAAAATAAGAGATTGAAAAAATTTACATCTATGTATATTTACTACAAAAGCCTGTGAGGTTGGTCTCATTTTCTGACTGTTAGCTTCATCATTTAATTCTTAATTTGTCTGCTTGCTAGAAACTGTCAGATTTTCTCACAGATGGTTTCATTTAGTGACTGCTGTAGTATTCAATTATCATAGCCTGAAACAGTTATATTTTCATTCTGTCCTCTATTCCATGTTTATTATGATCTAAGATGAATTAGATTCTGAAATACAAAGTGATATAAAACCTAGTACATTTGACCGAGAGGTGTTTGCCCAGGTTGACTACAGACTAAATGCTGATTTGAATGGGAGTGGTCATTCTTTATTACAGCATCAGTTTATTCTCAAAATTATTCCATTGACTACTAGAAATAAACTGTTATACCTGGAAAGATAATCTCAGTATTAAGTTTGGAGAGAAACATGACTTCTAGGATTGAAATTAGGTTTAGAATGTCATTGGGTAGTAGGTTCAGTATTATGATATTTTAGAACATATTTTCATGATATGTATTTTATAAATATGAAATATTTTTTCAAAGAAAGTACATCAGGTGATTAGGGCCTAATTTGTTTAGTCTGTGTTCACTATTTCATTAATTACTTAATTTTTTTAATGATGTGCGGTATTTTATGTTCTTTGAATCTGAATGAAAATTGCAAAATACAAAATTTTTTTCCCTTCTGCCAACCTTGTAAATAGTGGTTTTTTGTTTTGTTTTGTTTTTGCCTTCTTGATCTAAAATTGCTTTCGTTTTCAGATGGTGGCCAGCAGAGATCTGCAACCCCAGGTCTGTGCCACTGAACATCCAGGGCCTTAAACATGACTTGGGGGACTTCCCTGTGTTCTTCTTTGGTTCTCATGACTACTACTGGGTACACCAGGGCAGAGTGTTCCCTTATGTTGAAGGAGACAAAAGCTTTGCTGAGGGGCAGACTAGTATTAACAAGACCTTCAAAAAAGGTAAGCTGGATGATGTTTACAATGACTCAAAACTACAACTCCGGTGTCGGTTTCTCAACATCTCCTCACCTCCCTAATATTTCCGATATTAGAGAATTTTCACTAGGCATTATGATCCTGTGTCCATAAGCTTCCAGTCACATTAGAACCAGGTTTGAAATACATTTCAATATTGTAGACTGTGCTGTGTATTTGAAAGGAATTTCTTCAGTGATCTTTCTATAAACACAGATTATTCTAGGAATAGTCTTTGTTTTTTTGTTTGTTTTGTTTTTTTTAGACAGGGTCTCACTCTGTTGCCCAGGCTGGAATGCAGTGGCATGATCACAGCTCACTGCAGCCCTCAACTCCAGGGCTCAAGCTATCCTCTTGCCTCAGCCTCCCGAGTAGCTGGGGCTACAGGTACCTGCCATCATGCCCAGCTAATTTTTGCATTTTTTATAGAGATGGGGTTTCACCATGTTGCCCGGGCTGGTCTTAAACTCCTGGGTTCAAGCAATCTGCCCACCTCAGCCTTCCAAAGTGCTGGGATTATAGCTCTAAGCCACCAACCCCAGCCTGAGAATAGTCTTTTTAATCAAGTGAAGTTCTTTTGCAACAGAAAAATAGTAAAGACTTCCCATGAAAAGCCTTACAGTTGCTTTTGCAGTGTTTGGCTTTCTGGTAAGGGTAAAATGAATTTAAATCTAGTATAAGGCAAAAAGCTGCTGTTAGGGTCACTTGGAGACCTCTGATCATTGAAGTAGAGCCTCTTCCCTGAGGCAACAGCATGCACAGAGCATAGTGTTCAATGAGTTATATCCTATTTCATTGTTACCCCATCCTGGTGGTAAACAGTAACTTCCAGAAAATAATTTTAAACAGAAAAATCTCAGGCCAGATGCAAAGCATTGGGAAGACAGTGTAAAACTACTATCCCATCAATTTTCCTTTGGTTTTTGGTATTTACATACTTTGTGTCGTCTTATTGGCAGCACTGGAAGAAGCTGCAAAACGTTTCCAGGAATTGAAAGCACAAAGAGAGAGTAAAGAAGCCCTAGAGATTGAAAAAAACTCAAGAAAACCCCCTCCCTACAAACACATCAAAGTAAGTCTTTATCTCTGGCCTGGGATTGCCAAATAAAATAAGAAGCAAAGTAAGTCTTTACTATGAAAGCATTGGTATTTAATAGATGAGATGAAATGCATGACTCTCTAGTAGTTAAAGACCCTTTTTGACTTGTGCAAACTTTTCTAATTATCACAGTCTTCTGTAAAACAGAGCTCCTGTTGGAAGCATCAAATGGGAGACGTAGCTATTGTGCTGTGAAAAGTAGGCCTTTGATAAGTCCTCTCATACCTAGTAGCAACATGTCTTATGTGAAATGCTGTTCTCGTTCTACCAGGTTATCCTGCCACCAAATGAGAATATAGGTGTTTACTCCCTTTATTTTAGAGAACTCCCAAACAAGCATATTTTCTCTTGTTTTCAGTTATGAAATTTCCATCTAGTGAAAGTAGAGATACCCAGGATAAATAAGTGAAAATTCACATGAGGCTTTGATATTTTTGTCAACTAAATGACAAAAGAGATGGTTATTAATTTCAGCTTACTCATCAGGAAAGATAAAGAACCTTTCTTGGAGTAGCACCACGAGGCAGTAGCATGGATATTTTAGATGTTCCTGTCCACATTGCCAGATGACTTACCTGCTGCCTCCCTCTTGCTTGTTATTTTGTTTTCTAGGCTAACAAAGTAATAGGAAAGGTGCAGATCCAGGTTGCTGACCTGTCAGAGATTCCCCGCTGTAACTGCAAGCCAGCTGATGAAAACCCTTGTGGCTTGGAATCAGAGTGCCTGAACAGAATGTTGCAGTACGAATGCCACCCACAGGTGTGCCCAGCTGGAGATCGTTGTCAGAACCAGTGCTTTACAAAGAGACTGTACCCTGATGCAGAGATCATCAAAACAGAGCGGAGAGGCTGGGGCCTCAGGACCAAAAGGAGCATTAAGAAGGTAGCATGGGATGGTGGTGGGGGGTGGAAGAGATCAGAACCTGGGCTTTTTAGGAATGCTTCAATAGGGAATAGTTCTAGGGATAAAATAAACAGGGATTTATGGTAAAATTTTAAAACTTCCCATGTTGCGAGTTTGGTACTTCTTGAGCAAAGAAGAGTAGTAGGAAGAAGGTGGTGATAAAATGTACTTAAACTTTTGAGTGTCCAGTGGCTAGTCATAAAAAGGAGAGAGGGGACACTGGTAATTTCTATGTGAAATAGTTTTTACTTGTTTTTTTATTATTTTACTTTTATTTTCTTTTAAAGACAGGGTCCCCATTCTGTTACCCATGCTGGAGTACAGTGGCATGTTCATAGTTCACTCAAGCCTTGAACTCCTGGGCTCAAGAGATTCTCCCGCTTCAGTCTTCCAAGTAGCTGGGTAGGGTCTCACTACATTGCTCAGGCTGGTCTCAAACTCCTGGACTCAAGTGATTCTCCTGTCTTGGCCCCCCAAAGTGCTGGGATTGTAAGCATGAGCCATTGTGTCCAACCTAAAATTACTCTTGACATTTTTCTACCTTTTAAAAAAAATTGGCTGGGCGCAGTGGCTCACGCCTGTAATCCCAGCACTTTGAGAGGCCAAGGAGGGCGGATCACGAGGTCAGGATATTGAGACCATCCTGGCTAACACGGTGAAACCCCATCTCTACTAAAAATACAAAACATTATCCGGGCGTGGTGGAGGGTGCCTGTAGTCCTAGCTACTCAGGAGGCTGAGGCAGGAGAATGGCGTGAACCCGGGAGGCGGAGCTTGCAGTGAGTTGAGATTGCGCCACTGCACTCCAGCCTGGGCAACAGAGTGAGACTCCATCTCAAAAAAAAAAAAAAAAAATCCGGTTTGTAATTTAAAAATACCATCTAATATAGTAAAGAAAAGTCATACAATACGATCAATACAATACAAAAAAGATAGCAGAGTGAAATTCTTCCTTCATCCCTTCAATTCTTCATCTCATCAGAGATAACCGTTGTTAATAGTTTGATAGGTAGCCTTTTATAACTTTTTCTATATAGTTATAAACATACATAAAAATATATGGTTTTTTTTAGGATTTTCTAAACATAAATATCTGACATTTTCTTCCCATTCACACACTATATTATAAATACATTTGTGGCAGTACATATAGATTTTACTTCATTCTTTTTAACAGTCTCCTTTTAGTCATAGTAAAATGTACCATATTTATTTAACCTATTTCCCAGTAAGTAAATAATTTAACCTATTCCCAATAAATAAATAGATAAATATTTTTAAATTCCATAATGAATGTTCTTGGTCATCCACCTTTCTGCACCTATTTCTGTAGGTCAGATTGCTTGAAGTGAAATTCAGTTATTCGGGACAAGTGTATTAAGCTGCTTCCTATGTGGTAGGTACTATTCTCAGCACTTGGAAAACAATAGTGAACAAGACACATGAGACCCTTACCTTAGTGGATCTGCTTGAGGAGACAGATAATAAACATGTCGAGTGCCACTAACTGCTGTGAATAAAAATAAAGCTGGAAAAGGAGCTAGCTGGTGACAGGGATTGCCCTTTTCAATTGACTGGCTCAGGAAGGCCTGAGGAGGCGCCGTTTGCCCTGTGTGTAGTAGAAAGCCATGCAGGTGTGTGCAGAAGAGCACATCAGACTGGAGGCAGGCAGCTGTAAAGGCTGCAGTGTGCTCCAGGAACAGCAAGGAAGTTCTGGGCCTGGGGAGGAGCCACAGGAGAGGAGGGAGAGGAGCTGCAGTGAGAAGGGCTGCCACCAGCTAGATAGGATGGGACCTTACTGGCCATATTGGCCATGGGATGGGGAATATCTGGAGGATTTTACTAGGGAGTGACTTGATCTGATTTGATGTATTAGTTTTCTGTTGCCACATACAAATGTTACCACAAAGTTTAGCAAATTAAGACATAACACGCATTTTATTATCTCACAGTTAATATGGGTCAGGAGTCCAGGCGATCCTTAGCTGGGTCCTCTACTGAGGGCCTCACCAGGCAGCAGTCAAGGTGCCAGCTGGGGCTGGGTTCTCCTCTGTGGCTTGACTAGGGAAGGATCTGCTTCCCTGTTTGCATGGTTGTTGGCAGAACTCCGTTTGGCAGAACTCCATTCTCTAGCTGTAGGGGTGAGAGACTCCGGTTGTTTTTGTTTTTGTGGGGGGTGTGTGTGTTTGTTTGTTTGTTTTGCCGTTGGCCAGGAGCTGCTTTCAGCTTCTAGAGGCTGCCCACAGTTCCTTGCCACATGGGATTCCCAGCATGGCCACTTGCTTCCTTACAGCCAGCGGGGGTGAGAGACACTACATGAAGATGGACACTAAAGTCTTATGTCATAAACTCACATAATCACCCGTCGCCCATGCCATATTCTGTTGGTTAGAAGCTAATCACAGGTCCTGCTCACACGCAACAAGGGAAGGAGGCGACACAATGGCATGAACACCAGCAGGCAGGCATCACAGGGGCCACCTTGAGAGTCTATCTGCCACACTTGGGTTTCGAAAGGATAACTGTGGCTGTGGTATGGAGAACATATGATAAGAAGGAAAGAGCGATCAAGGGAGACCATTAGAGTCGCCCAGTAGAAAGACCATGGTGATGTGGAACCACTGGGGTTGTAGTTGAGCCAGGAGAGAAGTGGTTGGATTTCTGACATTTTAAAGGTAGAGCCAACAGGATTTGCTAATGTACTGGATATGTGGACTGGGCTGCTTGGTCCAAGGCCAACCACATCTAAAATGTCATCATATAATGCAAAATGTTTTATATTGCTTTAGTGCCATGTATATCATATATACACATTTTTGCCTATGATTTCATGGGAGTTTATGGGGCCATCCTGAAATCCATCCACTTTAATATTGTGTTAACACCTTTTAATAGTAGTTGCACTTATTCTGAAATGTGTTGTAAGATAATTTATTAAACAATCTTGATTTTCCTGCTCTTTAGCACTTGAGGGTTTGCTGATGTAAGACCATTGGTCTTTTACAAAATAGCTACAAATATACAATCATTGAAAAGTGTAATCAGAAAGACATTATAGCAACATGAATAAGATATTCGGTGTATTTACAGGAAAGAAGTCCAATATGAAATGGAATGTACACAGTCAGGTCCCCTTCTTTCTCCACAGAACAGATTCCTGAAAATGTGTGCCAAACTAGGGACTTCTTGTTATGAAGTAGTTTCTTTCTCAGAAAAAATGTTAAGGTATTAAATATTGAATTACAGCCTTTTTGCTGCAGTCTTTAAGGACAGATCTGTAGCATTTTTTAAGTTAATGAATTTGTTAACAATTTTTGTTCACAATTGAATTCACAGTTAATGGTTTTTAAGTCTAGTAAGCAACTCTTTGAGGCTAAAGATCTGTCTCTTAGAACATCTGAAATATTTCCATCTTTACAGTGGTATCAAGTTTATGAGACTTGCTATCATATTTGATATCAGCACTTAATTTTTCTATGTTTACTCATTTTCATAGACTGATTAAAGTGTAAACCATAATAAATCATGATCAAGCTTTTAAATTCACAAAACTATTTCTTCAAATGAAATCTTACCTTGAATCCCAATGTGTGAAAAGAGAAGTAGTAGAGCTGATTTGGTTGAAATTCTCCTCTATAGGTTTCCACTAAAGAAAATTTGCCGTAGGCCGGGCAGAGTGCCTCACACCTGTAATCCCAACACTTTGGGAGGTCGAGGCAGGTGGATCATTTGAGGTTAGGAGTTCGAGACCAGTCTGACCAACATAGTGAAACCCCATCTCTACTAAAAATATAAAATTAGCTGGGCATGGTGGTGCACGCCTGTAATCCCAGCTACTTGGGAGGCTGAGGCAGGAGAATTGCTTGAACCCAGGAGGTGGAGGTTGCAGTGACCTGAGATCACACCATTGCACTCCAGCCTGGGCAACAAGAATGAAACCCCATCTCCAAAAAGAAAATTTGCCCTAACATCATTAGGTATAGTAACAGTAGGTTGCAATGCAGCCAAGATGGCAGTACAATCTTCTGCTACCCTTTGATATCATATCATAGTGCAAAATGTTGTTCATCGGCTGATAACAAAGTCCAAACTGGATACAGGAAAAGCCATTTGAGGCTGACAGTGTATGTAATAGACGAATGTGCAGAACAGTCCCATGTCCTTTGTGAGAAAGGACTGGAAGGAAAAAGTGAAGGAAATTAACTGTTTATGGTGCTGCATTTACAGATCAATTTTGTTTTTATTTCCTTGAAACGGAGTCTTGCCCTGTCACGCAGGCTGGAGTGCAGTGGTGCAGTCACATCTCGCTGCAGCCTTGAACTCTCGGGCTCAAGTGATCCTCCTGCCTCAGCCTCCCAAGTAGTTGGGACCACAGCCATGCACCACCACACCTCACTGATATTTTTTATTTTTTGTAGAAATGGGGTCTCACTGTGTTGCCCAGGCTGATCTCAAACTCCTGGCTCAAGCAGTCCTCCTACCTCAGCCTCCCAAAGTGCTAGGATTACAGGCAGGAGCCACCACACCTGGCTTGTTTTTCATTTTCTAACTGAATTCCGTGTCATAGCTTATACAGTAGATAAAAACAGGAGCGGGAAAAAGCCATCGGTCACCTTTGGTAGTGACTGCTCCGCAGCTGAAACATGCAGCTCCGTGAAGCAGAGCAGTGCTTCTCACTAAGCTCACTCACCACATGCCACCAAAGGAAGAGTCAGGGAGGTTAGGGCCCTTCCAGTTTAACCATTCATTTCTTTTCTCTTACTATAATCTATTGTTATCAATAGACAAAGATTAAATATTTTAAAGACCATTGGCTTATGTTCTTAATGATTTTCCACAATCAGAAAACGTGATGCAGTACTTCTCTTCAGATAGTGACTACCAACAGTTCTGTGATACCAAGAGCTATAAGAACGGCTAGTGGAAATTTGTGGGGTGGAGGGAGGGAGGGAGAATAGGACAGAAATCTGATAAAATAAGCCAATACATTTTTGTTTTTCAAGATATTTATTTTCCTCTAAAATATATTTGTAAGACTGGTAAGTCCTTATAGAGAATGTTGACCTAGACTGAATCAGCAATGCTTTTGAGGTGAAAAGGTTAATGATTATGTAATTATAAACACAAAATGTTGAATGTATAATATTTGCTCTTATTTTAAAAGGAGCTTATCACTGTATGCCTGTTAGGAACAGCTAAAATGATAAATAGTGGCAATACCAGATGCAGGCAGGACGTGGAGAAAGTGGATCTCATGAACTGCTGGTGGGAGCATATGACGGTAGAGCAACTCTGGACAGTAGTTTGGCAGTTTCCTTAATAAGGAAACATACACTCACCATATGGTGCAGCAGACGCACTCCTGGCCATTTATCCAGGAAGATGAAAATCTATGTCCACACAAAAACTTTCACCAGAATGTTCATAGCAGCTTTATTTGTAAAGCCAATATCTGGAAACAATTCAGATGTTCCTCTATGGGTGAATGGCTAAACAAATGGCAGAAACACTACTCAGAGATTTAAAAAGAACAACCTGTTGATATACTCAGCACCTTGGGTAGATCTCAAGGGAATCTGCCTGAGTTTTTTTCTTTAAAGCCAACCTCAAAAGGTTCTGTACTATATCATTCAATTATAAAACGTTCCTTTTTTTTGTTTTTTTTTTTGTTTTTTTGAGACAGAGTCTTACTCTGTCACCCAGGCTGGAGTGCAGTGGCACGATCTCGGCTCACTGCAGCGTGTGCCTCCTGGGTTTCTGCAATTCTCCAGCCTCAGCTTCCTGGGTAGCGGGGATTACAGGCATGTGCCACCACGCCTGGCCAATTTTTGTGTTCTTAGTAGAGACGGGGTTTCACCATGTTGGCCAGGCTGGTCTCGAACTCCTGACCTCAGGTGATCTGCCCACGTCAACCTCCCAAAGTGCTGGGATTACAGGCATGAACTACGGCGCCCAGCCAAAACATTCTTGAAATGACAAAATTCTAGAGATAGAGAACAGATGAGTGATTGCCAGGGGTTAGGATGGGATGAGTGGAGGAAGGATGGAGGAAGGGTGTGATTATAAAGGAGTATCACAAGGAATCTCTGTGGTGAGGCACTAGCTCTGTATCTTGATTGCAGTGGTGACTACGTGATCCTATGCCTGCTAAAACTGCATAGAAATATATACAAACACAAATGCATGCATGTAAAATTTGTAAAATCTGAATAAAGTCTGGATTATACCGATGTTGGTTTTCTGGTTTTGATATTATAGTGTAGTTATGTCAGTTGTTACCATTGGGGGAAACTGAGTGAATGTTCTCAAGATTTCCCATGTACTATTTTTGCCACTTCCTCTGAGTGTCAGTAATTACTTCAAAAGAAGCTTAAAAACAAAAACAGAGCTCACTTGTTTCAGATTCAGATCTCTTCCAGGTCTTACCCCGAAACTTGCATAGCCACAAACTAGTAAAAGTGTGTTATAATATAGCTTCAAAGGCTAAAGTTAGCTTTATCCCCAGATCCCAGCGATGTACCACATGTTGTCAGTTGGACTATAAAAATAGTATTGTCAGCAAGAAAAGGCAAGCAGATTGTCACCTTCTGAGGCGCTTATACCAGAAAAATAATGCCACCTGTATGCCTATGAATAAATAACCATTTCTTTCTAGGGTTGAAGTTATATTTTCAGGGTTCTCTTTAATTATTTTGGGTTATACATGCATCATTAAGCAATGCTTTATATAATACACTGATTTTAAGTTACGTATTGCACATTTATCTCCAGGGTGAATTTGTAAATGAATACGTCGGTGAATTAATTGATGAAGAAGAATGCAGATTGCGAATCAAGCGAGCCCACGAGAACAGTGTAACTAATTTTTATATGTTAACTGTTACCAAGGTAAAATTGCTTTTTTTTTTTGTAAGAAAAAGGGATTTGTTTTTGTTTTTGTTTCATAGTCTTAATTTGAACTCAGTTTCTTTTAATTTGATTTTTCTTCAGGCAGAGCATAATGATTTGCAGTAGCTAGTGTGCTGCCTACTATAATGTGCCAGTTATACCAGAGTACAAAAATGAATGATACTGAAGCTTTGCACATGTCATGTGAGACAGCACTGTGAGTGAAAATAAAACCAAGAGCAGGGTTAGCATATCTGGATTTTAGTCTGAGTTCTTTGTCAAAAAAGTCCTGGGCCTCAGTTTCTTTATTACTGAAGGAGAGAATCAACTCTGTGATTCTAAGTTATAAGCCACTGTTATTAAAGTTCTACTGTAGCCAAAACTCCACATTGTTTTGTATATTAAAACTTTTTGGCAGGGCACAGTGGCTCACGCCTGTAATCCCAATACTTTGGGAGGCTGAGGAGGGCAGATCACGTGAGCTCAGGAGTTTGAGACTGGCCTGTGCAACACAGGAAGACTCTGTCTCTACAAAAAATAAAAATAAAGTTACCCAGGTGTGGTGGCACGTGCCTGTGGTCCTAGCTCCTCAGGAGGCCGAGGCGGGAGGATTACTTGAGCCCAGGAGGTCAAGGCTTTAGTGAACTGTGATCACACCACTGCATTCCTGCTTGGGCAACAGAGCAAGACCCTGTCTCAAAAAAAAAAAAAAAAAAAGAGGAAAATAATGAGTTCTGTCATAAGAAAAATGATAGTAAAACTGCTAGTTTAATCCCTGCAGTTGTAAGACCTATTTGATACACATTACATCCATTATCTCAGTTAACTTTTTTGTCAGTTCTCTCATTTACAGAGGACAAGAAGCTGATGTCCAGCCATGATAAGTGATTTGTTGACTATTTTGTTACAGTTTTAAGAACCAAGACTAGTACCCATGTTTCCTGTGTTCTAGGCTATCATATCTCTAAAACTGAGATTCAGAGTGTCATTAAAGTAAGAAATGGAGCTTAAAAGTATTTTAACTGATATGTCATTGTTTGAAAGTTTTACAACTTTCATAAACATGTTTCATAAACATCAGTTAAAATGCCATTCTTTATGATTGCTGGGATCTGACTCCTTCAACCCTATCCTCCCTGCCAGTGGCCCCTCCAGCCATCGTGACAGCACTTTAGAGGCTCAGTTCTGTGGAGCTTATCCAGATTATTAGAGTTCAAATTCAGGAAACCTGAAAATTCAGCTTTTTAATGTATTGTGAACTTTAAAAACAGAGCAAATAGATAAGCACTGGAGAATATATCCTACACGGTAGTCCTTCCATCAGACAGATCTCCAAGTTTTGTTTCTCATTTTTCTTTCTTCTTTCTGGCCTAAGCTGTCATGTATCCCCTCCTATACCAGTTTTGCTTCCTGCTTGGAGCAGAAAAGGGAGGCTAACAGCAAAACACCAGAGTAGTTATCAGAACTTTGAGCTCTCTAATCAGAAAATATCATTCCTAAACCTCTGACCCACTAATCTTCTAAATAGCATTATTCCGTGGTCTGTTTGTTTCTAGAAGCAAACTTAAAAAGCAACTAAATCCCACTTTATCCTAATTACTTTACTTTGACTTGAAGGTCATCAAATAAGGGAAAGAACTTAGTAAATTGCCCAGGCAGTCTCACATTTCCTGATTTGTCAGTTGTCAGACACCAGCTGGTAGCAAAATGCTGCTGCCTGTGATCCTTGACTGAGTTGGATGTTTCTGGGAGAGACTTGATTTATGAAAAAGGTACCTTTCTTTTCTTTCTGAAGGATCGTATAATTGATGCCGGCCCCAAAGGAAATTATTCTCGCTTCATGAACCACAGTTGTAATCCCAACTGTGAAACACAAAAGTGGACAGTGAATGGAGATGTTCGAGTGGGACTGTTTGCTCTCTGTGATATTCCTGCAGGTAAAAAAGTGGCTCGTTCCCCATGCTTTCCTCCCTAGGAAGAAAGAATATCCTATAGAGTCAGGACATGGTTCTTCAAGGCTTGATGCTTAAGAACTTATTCAAATAAGAGGAAGGTTATATTTAGAAAACGTATTCAAATAAAAGGCAGGTTATATTTAGAATTGAGTGTTAGCTGCCAGTGAGAGGCAAAAATCTATAACCTCAGAAAGGAATTTAGTGAGAACTTTTATGTAAGAGTGGGTATGACAGGATTCTGTGTCCACAGTCCTGCTGAATGAATTCTCCAAGTAAGCTGCTGTCCGTACAGTGTAACCAGATGTTTTAGCTGTTGTTTTCTTTTTAAAACATATTAACAGTAATTAGCTTGTGTCAGCAGCAACTGGTTCCTTAGTTGCTGGGATTTTTTGTTGTTGTTTTCACTTTGAAAGATCATTCTGTTTCAAATTAGACATAAAAGCCTCTGAAGCCAGAGCTGTTGTTTTCATTTTTCCTTACCCATCCAGCATCTGAACAAAACTTGGTTTCTCCTTTGTTTAGTTTGTAGAAAAATAGGTGAGAAGAGAAATGCTGTAGCTAAAACAGATTTAAACTGTGTTTCTAGAACTCATTGTGGATTGTTTAAGCCCAGCTAGAAGAAAGCTTAGGAGTCCCTAGTTTGAGTCCCTGGATCTTTGGTGTATGCAGTGAACCTTCATTTTGGATCTTTATTTGATCATAATATAAGGCAGTAATTACTGGAAATAGTATTGTCACAATTCCATGGTCATATTGTTCATTTAGAAACTAGTGTGAGTTAGCTATAGGAAAGAAGGCTGAACTAGAACCTATTCTCCTGCAGATTCTTAGATGCTGTCACATTGGTTTCAACCACTGCTTTGAGAAGGACATGACTTCTTTTGAGGATGTGTAGTTTTGCTGTCTTTGTTCATGGGTGGGGATGTTTTTCTCCTTTTCTTTTTTTACCATCACTGTTATCAATGAGGTAGAACACTGGCAAGGGAAACGCCTTCATGCCAGAATGATGTCTCTTTTTTCATCAGGGGAATGTGCCTGTGAGAGCATTTCTCTTCCCCATGACTCGAGTTTGAATAATTATTTCTCCTGTGTTTCAGGGATGGAGTTAACATTTAATTATAACCTAGATTGTCTGGGCAACGGCAGAACGGAGTGCCACTGTGGGGCAGATAACTGCAGTGGTTTTCTAGGAGTGCGGCCAAAGGTCAGTCTTGCAGGGGAGCGCCCCCAGCCAACAGGAGATAAGGAGTAGGGCTGTTAAGGAGTCTCTCTGGCCGGGCGCGGTGGCTCACGCCTGTAATCCCAGCACTTTGGGAGGCCGAAGTGGGTGGATCACAAGGTCAGGAGATCAAGATCATCCTGGCTAACACGGTGAAACCCCATCTCTACTAAAAATACAAAAAATTAGCTAGGTATGGTGGTGGGCGCCTGTAGTCCCAGCTACTTGGGAGGCTGAGGCAGGATAACGGCATGAACCCGGGAGGCGGAGCTTGCAGTGAGCTGAGATCGCGCCACTGCACTCCAGCCTGGGTGACAGAGTGAGACTCCGTCTCAAAAAAAAAAAAAAAAGAAGTCTGTTTGTGTGTTTGTGACCATCTCAGGAACCTGCTGGCAGTTGGGCACCTGGATTAGTTTGTGGGTCATCAGCTGGGCTTATCAAACATTTAGACTGTGACTTTCCAAGGAAGCTTGTTTTGGTAACGTCTGTTAGGTTCTGAGAATGTATTTTATTTCAGGTTGAATATGAAATTAGCAAAAAGCTAATTTAAAAGTTTTTAAAAATCCACAAAATAGTAAGGGCCATTGAATTATACACTTTAAAATGGTGAATTCTGTGGTATGTGAATTATACCACAATGAAAAAAATTAACAGGTTGCCTAAAGGTTGCTTGGATTTACCACTACCTTTGCAATTAAAAATAAAAAGCACCTGGCTGGGCACGGTGGCTCACACCTGTAATCCCAGCACTTTGGGAGGCCGAGGCTGGTGGATCATAAGGTCAGGAGTTCGAGACCAGCCTGACCAACATGGTGAAACCCCATCTCTACGGAAAATACAAAAATTAGCCAGGTGTGGTAGCACACACCTGTAATCTCAGCTACTCAGGAGGCTAAGGCAGAAGAATTGCTTGAAACCAGAAGGCAGAGGTTGCAGTGAGCCAAGATCACGCCATTGCACTCCAGCATAGGTGACAGAGTGAGACTCCGTCTCAAAAAACTAACTAAATAAAAATAATAAAAAGCACCCTATTCAAAGGTCAATGAAGGCCAGGCGCAATGGCTCATGTCTGTAATCCTAGCTCTTTGGGAGGCTGAGGCAGGCGGATTGCCTGAGCTCAGGAGTTCAAGACCAGCCTGGGCAACACAGTGAAACCCCATCTCTACTAAAATACAAAAAATCAGCCATGTGTGGCAGCACACGCCTGTCGTCCCAGCTACTCAGGAGGATGAGGCAGGAGAATTGCTTGAACCCAGGAGGCGGAGGTTGCAGTGAGATGAGATCGCCCCACTGCACTCCAGCCTGGTGACAGAGTGAGACTCAGTCTCCAAAAAAAGTCAATGAAAGGCTGAGGCAGGAGGATCACTTGAGCCCAGAAGTTTGAGACCAGCCTGGGCAGTATAGCAAGACCCTGTCTCAACAAAAAAAATTACAAAAATTAGCCAGGCATGATGGCATGCGCCTGTAGTCCCAGCTACTTGGGAGGCTGAGACAAGAGGATTGCTTGAGCCCAGGAGGTCAAGGCTGCAGTGAGCCAAGATTGCACCACTGCACTCCGGCCTGGACAACACAGCGAGAACCCTATCTCAAAAAATAATAATAATAATAATTTTTAAGTCAGTGAAAACAAAACTTTATTTTTGTTATAGTATTTGTTGCAGCATAAGGCCTTCTGATGTTTTTAGGTAATTATACAACAGATGAATTTAAATGAATATGAGGTTGTAGGGTTTTCCTATCTGTGTCCAGCTTCATGCACTGTCTGTGATGTTTGAAACTATGATCCTTTCTTTCCTGCCAGTCGGCATGTGCGTCAACAACTGAAGAGAAGGCAAAAAATGCTAAGTTAAAACAGAAGAGACGAAAGATCAAAACAGAACCAAAGCAGATGCATGAAGATTACTGTTTTCAATGTGGAGATGGTGGAGAGCTGGTCATGTGTGACAAAAAAGACTGTCCCAAAGCATACCACCTCCTATGCCTTAACCTGACTCAGCCACCATATGGTAAGCTGGACCTTCAGGACCCTTTCCCTAACTTGTATCTTTGCCAACTATGTGTAACTCAGAATATATTCCATGCCATGGGATAGGAAATGTTGAATAGAGCAAACAATAGCAAAAAATTATGCTGGCAAAAAAAATATTTCCCCTTACACATTTGGGATACCCTGTGGTTCATCAAGGATTGGTTTCTTGTATACTGTTCCCATAGGTGGGTAGTTGGTACCTATGGCGTTGGGTTTTGGCCAGTAGCTCACATCCGTCCTAAATAATACACCCAGATCTGTGTTTGGTTGAAATTTGGAGTTGTATTCAATTGAATTCCATCTCCAATTAGAGAAAAAGGAACGTGGGTTTTTCATGGGTAATCAAGACAGGCACTAACTTGGGCACTTCTTCTTCCTCCCCTTCTCCCCGAATTAGGAAAGTGGGAGTGTCCGTGGCATCAGTGCGATGAGTGCAGCAGTGCAGCTGTTTCCTTCTGTGAGTTCTGTCCACATTCATTTTGTAAAGATCATGAAAAGGGGGCCCTGGTTCCCTCCGCACTGGAAGGCCGCCTCTGCTGCTCGGAACATGACCCCATGGCTCCTGTGTCACCAGAATACTGGAGCAAGATAAAATGTAAATGGGAATCACAGGATCATGGAGAAGAAGTAAAAGAATAAATGTGTGGTGTCCCCTCCTTTCTATTTACGTGAAAAAAAGCAAATAGATCATGCATTTAAAAAGAAGAGACTGCTACAGTGCATACAGCCTTTGCCATCGGAACTGCCTTATTAAAGCCAAAATGGGAAACCAGTTCATGCAGGCAGAAGCAGTTGGTGGTGTCTGGTTTTTCTGTTTTGTTTGGTTGGTTTGGGGATTCTTTTGTGGAGGGTTAAATTCCCTTGGTCTTTTCTTGCCTTTTATTGTGCTTCAATGCCATTGCAGCTTGAAAAAGAAATGTTTTTGCTTTTAAAATAAGAACAAAGAGAAAAGAAAGTTGTGTTAATGAGATAAATTTAAAGTCTAAGATGTGTTCCTTGGTTGTATAAAGCAAAAGTAGCCATCATTCCTTTATTTATTTTCATTTTTAGGAATTTCAAGAAGTGTAGTTCAATAGTCTAATCAAGTGTGTGTGTGTGTTAAGTAGGAATCTGAGAAAGCCCTCTAGGAAAGGGTGTGATAAGCTTTATATACCTCTTTACTGAGCAGTAGGTAGGCTCACTTCTCTTTCCCTTCAGAATGCTTTTCATAGACTTAGAGAAGGGCTCTATGGAAGTATTAAATCTGGCCTCTTAAAAACAATGCCTCGGTGGATTTTACCTCTGTGTTCTTAAACAAGGTGGGCTTTGTACTATGGTAACTTTACCTTATAGAAAGGTATATGGTGTGTTTCCTTGGTGGAAGGAAAAAGAGGAATGGATGTGCTCACTGATTTTTGAAGCGTTCTCCATTGACAGGGATGGTTTGGATTTTGGATGAAGTGCGTTTCTGTGGATATGAAGCATAGTTGGAATGGTCACGCCTGTTTTCCTGACACTGATAAAGGCAGCTAAAGGGGGATGAAGGCACAAACCAAAAGTTGTATCATATAAGCACCATTTTCTGTCCAATTTTATTGTAGACCCTGGTCTAAATTGGAAAGAATTACAGGCATTTTATTTTTTGTCTCTGTTTTCCTCTCCTACTCAAACATTTCTTTTGTCACCTGACCATTCAGTCATGTTTCCTGGTAAAACCACACAAGTGAGTTTGAATTGTATTTGAACAGATCTTTTTGGTTGAGTTCCTAATTTAGGGGGTGAAAGTTATAGGGGCATCCCCAGGTTACATGTAAAGAATTTCTATTATTATCCAGTACTTAAGATTGCTCCCATTGAGTAAGGGGAAGAACTTCTACTTTTACAGGGTACATAAGAGCCACACAAACACACTTCATCTTAGGAAGCACTTGGAGAAAACTCTCAAGAAAGTCAGTGTTAGCAAAAATGGTTGACGGTGACGCTTGACTCTTATAGACGCGAGTATACCAAGATGTCTGCTCACCAAACTCACTTGGCTTTTAATGCTTAGGAATATCTATATTCCAGTATTCCTTGTATGAAATAATTAGTAATGTCAGACATTGTTGTAACACTGTACTAAGTAGAAGTCTAGGGTTAGCTTGAATGAACGTTAACTTTCTCTGTGAATTTTGACTGCTTACAATTGCTGGTACCTGGTTAGCATTTATTTTCCCTCAAGTACCTAGTAACCTTATGAAGGTAGGGAGGGTAGATGCTCTACCACATTCCTTTCAGCTGTACTGAGTGTTCCATTTGCTTATCAATTTAGAGCTCTTCTATGGAAAGAGGGTGAAAAGCTGTTTTGTGCCTCTTTTTTTTGTATGTAAATGTGCAATTATACTGGATTTTCTCTTGTAAAAAACAACACTACAATTCTTTTACTGAAGCTCCTAAACTGCCATTTGCCTGACTCCAGCAATTAATTCTGCGGTGACTCATTGGGCTTCCAATACTTCTGTTGATTAGATATGGTCCCAAAAGAGCAAAATGGAAAATGCAATCCATGTCACCAAATATAATTGCTACAAGTAAGATGAAATACAGCTCACCAAAACACTAAACTTTGCTCTTGAGCAATTATAGAGTTTGATGTCCTTTTAAAAAATAAGAAAACCTAGGTTTTATCATACTAAAATTTTATTTTGTATATGATGTTTGGTTTTTTAAACTTACTAACATAAGGATTTCCTTTAATATTCCAAATACAGTTCTTGTTGAAACAGTATCCAACATGAAATCTTATCTCCTTGCTTTTAGACTTAGTGCTATTTACTATCTAATGACTTTTATATGGTAAGCCAGGGTACATCCTATATACTACAGATACCTTAGGTTTCAGTACTTTTATGCAGCTTCTTCATTGTGTCATATCTGTAACAGAGCTCTGATGAAATTAAAAAATATATGATTAATAGGATTGTTTCACCATTTCAGAAATCAGAGTAGAAAACAAAATAGCTGCCGGGTGCAGTGGCTCACACCTGTAATCCCAGCATTTTGGGAGGCTGAGGTGGGCAGAACACGAGGTCGGGAGTTTGAGACCAGCCTGACCAACATGGTGAAACCTTGTCTCTACTAAAAATACAAAAAGTAGCTGGGCATGGTGGCACATGCCTGTAGTCCCAGTTTCTCGGGAGGCTGAGGCAGAAGAATCACTTGAACCCAGGAGGTGGAGGTTGCAGTGAGCCAAAATCATATCACTGCACTCCAGCCTGGGCGACAGAGCGAAACTCCTGGTCTCAAAAAAAAAAAAAAAAAAATGCTAACCATAGTTCTGAAGTCTTTGGCCATGAGTGTTCTTTAATGGTCTAAAAAGCAGTTTTAGTCATGCCGGTGCCAAGGAGCTCTCCTCACATCTCCATAGTGTCAATGTTGACCTATTTTATATATTTTTAAGTTGCAGATTATACATACAGAAAGAGAAAATTGTCCTTTATGTGTGCATGAGTATACATGCACTGTGCCTGTGCTACACCAATGAAATATTCCAAAAGACACATTGCTCACTCATAGTCTGAAGTTGGTATTTGTTAACTTTTAAATCTATATGTGGTCAGTGTAAGTGGTTGGTTTTTATTCTTGTCAAACAATGAAATAACTTAAAGCAGCATGGGCTAATGGTGGTATTTTTTTTTAACCACATGTTAATTTGTTGAAGGAAGAAGTGAACATAAGATTTTTGATAATCAGCCTAAAGCTTCAGAAATTGGATCAGGAAGAGCTAAAGATGAAATCCTGGGAAACCTTCCCAGGCACTGTGCAGGGGAGGGAGGGGCTGGACCGCCACTGCTGTGAGGGAGGAATGGGAAGAGCAGCCCCTGGCTGGGTGAGAAGGGCAGAGTGGATGGCCCTTCATTCCTGGAAGGCGGAAGCAGCCAGAGGCAGTGATTCATCTCTTTAATGTCTAATCAGGGAGAGATACAGGAGTGACGTGAGTTTTATTTTCATTTTTGTTTTAACAAGTTCCCACTCTATCTTAATTCTCAAAAATGATCTGGCCTAATCTATAGAACTGGCTGAGTTTGAGAATCATTTAAAATTTGGAATTTTCTATACAAGTCAGGAACATACCTGAAAGCTAAAACAGTAATGGAGGCAGGGGGGCTGCCCCCAGCTCCCTTCTGCCATTTACATAAAATATTTGAAAACATGTCTGTAAATAATGTTGTAGAACTGAGATATTGAGTATCATGTAAAGGACCCTCAGATGGGACAGGCTGTTGAACAACTTTCCTAGATCATGAAGTGGAATTTCCTTTTTGAGTAGTTTCTTGCATGGTGTATTCCAATAGTTCAAACCCAGACCTACAGTTTGCAACCAGGCCATCTGTAGAGAATATAATCTCTGGACTGCCCAGGACTTGTTGCTTGTCTTTCATTTCATTTTAAATACAAAGCTCTTCCTTTAGCATTCACCTTAAAGTCAAGGTGCTGGCTGCCACCTGCCATGTCCTCTTAGAAGATAAGAAAACAGTGGCTATGGAGCCCTCACGGCTGGGAAGCTGGCATTCTGTGTACTTCCACATGAGAAAAAGGACATTGGAAAGTTGCTTTATTTCTGGGCAGCGTAGACTAAAGTTACTTTTTACAAGGCTGATGCATCCAGCCACCCCCAGTTGTCCAAGTTGGTGCAGACATGAATTGATTAACTGAAACACTTTCCTTTAGCCTAGGGCCACCTAGAGTTGGTCTCTGGTTATTTGTAAAACAAAAAGTAGAACTTGGTTCCATTTTCAGATGGACTAGGGAATACTGTAATTTGACAGCTTTGCAATGAATTAACAAATACTGAAAAGTTGGAAATGTGTATATACTGAAATCTCACCAACTTTTACCTGGGGCGGGGTACCAGGAGAAAGGGGGTTATAATAGGGTAAGGGGGGGGGGATAATGTTTACCACAGGTACGAAGTAGTCACTTTAACATTGAGACCTCTGCCTCATTGAATTCAGGTTTTTTAAGTACTTGAAACTCTTCAGATTCTCCTTATTTTACAGTTTCTTTTTACATTTATGAAGTAGAAAGCATTGTTTTGTAAACCATTTTGAAAATAAGTAGCCTAGTCTCTTATCCTCTTTAGCGTGGATTAAAGGTGAAGTTCTGCAAATGGGAGAGTGTTCACAGTAGATAGCTCGGATTGATTGAACACATTTGAGGAAGAGACTCCTGCATGAGATACCAGCATTTTTACAAATACTTCTTATGTATGTTCTTTATTTTGTCATTTTGTCAACCCTGTCCCCAAGCACATCTTCTTTCCTTTTACTATGTCTATGTAGGGGAAAAAAACAAAAAAATTGCACTTACGTTACACTCCCAAAATGTGGGTAATCTGTGTCTTTCAAAAAACATTTCTGTTTTTTGTTTTGTTTTGGTCAGTCCATTGCGTAAGTGACAAGTTTGGGTGCTTGTGGCACGTATGTATGAAGTGGGAGGGGGATGAGAATTGCCTGTCCTTCAGTAGGCTGTAAAAGTAATTTACATGTAAGTAAAAAGGGAAAATAGAATAGATGCCAAAGTCATTTATTCAGTCTTTTAAGTTTTCTTATGTGGCATTACTGCATCTGCTAGTTAGTGAGAAAGCACCCTAAGCTTTTACTGCTCCCCTCCCTGCCTGCCAACACACTTGATGTGTGCAAACAGCCCTCAAGTATCTGTCAGATTACCTATAGAAGGTATTGATAAGGTATTCTTGTCAGTTTAGAAATGGACTGGATAAAACTTACTTTGTTGTCATTATTTTATCTCATTTGTCCTGTTACATGCCCTATGTTAAGAAAATCATATTGCCACTAATAACCAAGATGCTAAATGAGTATTACAACTGGCTAATATCATTTTTTATATACAAGGGTATGTGTATATTTGGAATTGATACAAGAAATTCATTTGTACCCATTTGAGTGATATTGCACAACAAAACACAGATACCTACAGACTCCGTTTTCATTTTCTCGTGTTCTTTATGATGATGATCTTTGTAGATTGGTTATTTCTGTACTTTATCTGTAATAAACTTTGTAGATCCTGTGAACTGTTATTTTGCCTAAATCACTTGAGACTTGAGTCTTTAATAACAAAGCATCAATATTCACTAAAGTCAATCTCTTTTGAGTTTCTGTGACTTGGCTAGAAGCTCTTGACACTAAGGGATTAGTGTTCATTTTCCCTGGGGGTGTTCCACTAGGGCATTACTGTATAATGACTTGATGTTGCCACATAGACTTCAAGATATATAATATTTTGAGGATTTTGTTGATTGGCCTATGTTTTATTGCATAGTGTGAAATGTGTAAAGCTTGGTTAACCTGTATATAGATAGCTTATTGTTGACTAGTTACAGTGTATTTAGGATTGCCTGTAATATTTAAGCTTCTTTACTGATGTGTGTGCTGGTAGGAACATATAATTTTTGTACATTATATTTACTGATGTTGCCTTTTTTATTTTACAAATACTTTGGAATTCCAATGTGTTTTTTGCTTCCGTGAGGATTAATTTGGAAAGGTTTTTAATGACATTCCACTGATTTCAGATTTTGCTTGAGATTGACTTCAATAAATTGTCCTGTATGTTCCAAATTAAATATGTGGGCTTGTTCTTTGCCAGTAATTTTTTGCTACAACACTCTGGGCAGGAGGCCATCCTGGGTGGGAGGACTAAATGACACAATCTAGCCAACCTCAGCCAGTGTAGTTTCCTGCAGAATGCGGCTGTGTTGCTAAGGAACCAGGATCTGAGAGCGAGCTGTTTGGTTTTCTGTTTAGAGGCGAGGTCCCGGGAGAAGACTGCTCCCCGCGGTTGTGTGGTTGGGGTGTGGAGAGGAGCTGCTCATGGACCGCACGCCGACCTACTCGGCTGAAACTGGGGCGTTGGCTCCCTGCTGAACGCACCGGAGGGCAGCTCCGCTGACTTTGCGTCCCCTTTGCCAGATGATGCCCTCGGCACAGCCGCCAGGCCGGCTTCCTGGGCAGCGGCCGGAGCGCAGGCGGCTGGGAGAGGGGGCGGTGAGCAGTTCCCGGCCCGGCCCTCCCCGCGGAGGCGGCCACGTCAGCGCGGCGTCGCTCGGGGCTCGCGACCGGATGGGGAAGGCGGCGGCGGCGGCGGCCTTTGGGGCCGAAGTGGGCGTGCGGCTCGCGCTGTTCGCGGCCTTCCTGTAAGATCCACGGCCGGGTCCGGGCGGCCCCGCTTCCCAGGCAGGCAGGCGGCAGGGGGCGGCGGGCCGGGCAGTGGGGAAGCAGGGAGGAAGCCAGGCGACCTGCTCTGCGCTTCTTTGTTCCCCTCTAGGGTGACGGAGCTGCTCCCCCCGTTCCAGAGACTCATCCAGCCGGAGGAGATGTGGCTCTACCGGAACCCCTATGTGGAGGCGGAGTATTTCCCCACCAAGCCGATGTTTGTGCGTGGAGAAAGATCGTCCCTCTTCCCTCCCCGTAACCGGGCTTCCCGCGGGCACCTGTGCTTTTTCCTCCGTGGAGACGGCCTCTGTAGGGACCCACTACCCACTCCGCTGCTATGCGCTGGGTTCCGCCTCCTAGGGCTCTAGTGTTTAAGATCCTGATTGAGAGAGGAGGATGTCCGAGCCTCTTTCGGC